AAGTAAGCACAACACACAAAGCCAGAATTTGAATTTAGCTTCATGATTCCCATTTCTGTGGCATTAACCATTATGCTATCTACTCAGGTTTGAGTGACTATTGTAGGAATTACATCTGAATGGATTGCAAAGTTCAGAATTTGAAAAAGGTGGCTATGTAATGATTGTTGGTTTGGAGAATGGAATTTGTGAGCTAAGTTCAACTAACAGTTGAGATTATATGTTTATTTTGTACCCTTAGAAAAGGTATAAATCTGCATCTCTCTGTTTATATCTATAGCCACTATGACAGAACATGCTTGTCTGTATGGGCTTCATCAACCAATAACATTTTATACAAAAGATTTTTTTGTTATATTTGATATCTAAGAGTTTTTCCATGTACAGCTTTCAGCTTAACAAAATTATTATCTGCATCTATAACTTTTTAACTCTAAAATCTTATACATGAACATATATTGTATAATCTAATCTATGGATCATGTTCTGTTCTCATGGCTGCAATGTCCACAAATATTGCTGTTAGCAATCGGACATGAGCCACAGACTACATTATAAAGAGAATAAGAACTAATAATTTTCAGATACATTTACCTGAAAGAGGCTGTCTAAAAAGTTGAGATTCAAAAAGAACAGAACTTGCTCCACTGCAATCAACAATTATAAAATTTAAGAGGAAATTTTGCTGCTTCTCTTTTCATTTCACCAGCTCTTGTCCACTATTCAGTTATTCAACAAGAAATCGCCATTTTTATTTTAAGTTTGTTATTTGTATTGTTTTTAACTGATAATATTTTGATGTTTTCATTTAAATAATATAATATTTTATACTTAAGAATTTTATTTAATTCCATTTTTTATTTCATTAATTCTAAACAAATATGAAAAGCCTTTCAACTCATGATTTTAAAAAAAAAATCTTTGTGTTCAAACTGAACCACAGTTGATATAAAGTTGTGAGGAATATAAATTTCGTATCTGGAGATGATACTGTTTGTCAACAATTTGGTTTAAAAAAATTGCAAGGAGAGCGATTTCAGTTGAGAAAATCAGGAGAGAGTTCGGCCAAAACTGTCAATCATAGATTGAAGATTTGTAAAGTCTCATAGAAAAAGTTCCTGATATCTAAGAGAATTTTCAGCAAACTTCCATATAACAACTAAAAGCATTATTAGCAATCAGAAACAGTTTGATAAATAAGTTCTACTTGAATTAAATGAGGAAGAAAATACTTTGTAATCAGTGGTATGAAAATGATCTTTTTTTATATTGGGATGAAACGTAGATTTTGTGTACCTACATAGATAAGGTCTGCCCAGGGATTTAGACAAGAAGTTAAAATGCATGAGAAACCACTTTATGATGAATATTTGATGGAACCTATATAGACTAATACTTCGTAGCTCTTTTCAAAGTGGCCAAACAATGCTCATAGCTATGTCGACCAACTTCAAATAATCTGTCCTAAACTCAGCAGCCCTTTTGACAAAGAGGCTGACATTTTTTTTTGCATCGTAATGTCCACACACGAAAATGAAATTGAATTATTTGAAGTGGGACACTTTATTGCATCTTGCTTATACACCCAATTTCATTTATTTTTCAGTCTATTTTAAAAATCAGCATTTTCACATCGAACAACCTGACAATACAAAAATATTAAATTATTATTATTAGTACTGATTTCATCAACAATTGTTACAAATATTTACAAGTCGCTTATTTTGTTATTTTATTTTATTCACTAATTCAATCTTTCATTTTGTTAAGACTTTTTTCTTTTTTTTTTTTGTGCCATAACTTAACAAGCATAAAGATACATTAGCTTTATGTCCACAAATTTTCACACTTAAACAAAACAGTATGAATTTTGAATGCAAATACTAGATATATCTATTACTATAAATCTGGCAATTGTTTACTTGTATGCATCTTATAACTGACCAAATAGTTGAACCATTGGGGTTAAGAATTAGTCTCTAAGGACAACTTGACAAGAATATGGCACAGGTAACTATGACCTTCTAGGCTATTAGAGATCAAAAGTATTATTTCCAGTCAAACTACAAGAGATATATTTTTATATAATCTGTATAAACTGTAAATGCCCTAATTTTAGGCATCTATTTAAACATTGGTTTCTAAAATAAATACCGGTGGTGGTGCTGGCGGCCTAGCAGTTAGCAGCATAAGAAATGGAATTCTGTGTGATAATCTGTTCACTTTAAAAGGATTTTTTAGAATAGGAGGAGAAGAGACAACATCAGATCTTTTTATTCTATGTATTAATGGCACAAATGAAAAACCACATGACTTACACTGATGTGTGAAATCTGAAAGAAATTTACATTTATTAAATGATATAAAAAATAATAATAGAGAATACAAAATTTACAAAACAAGTTTGTACAAAATTTTCCCTTGTGTGCCAAACAGGCAAGATAACAAGTTTTAATTCTGTTTATCTCATAAAAACAAAAGCAATGATTTTAATTTTCTTGATATTATAATTTCTAAATATAGTTTCATAAATTGAAATGATATCAATATGAAAATTTCATATTTATTTTGTTAGTATTAGGATTTAATTTGAGAACCACTACTACAATGTTTTACAAGTTCACATTTTGTGATCCTTGCCTCAACTTTCACCTCTGCTTTCAAAACTGGCTCTCAAAGCCTTGATCCTTATCCAAGATAGAAATATATTTTCTGATGAATGAGAGGGCAGGGAAAGTGTATAAGCAGTTTTGGAAGGAAAAGCTCCTCATGTGTTTAGCCTTCTAATCTTGATAAATACTGAGAGCATGCACCTCTTTGGTAGTGAGTATTTGACATCATCTGTGATAACATCAGGTCGATGATATCAACACCAGGCATCTTTGGAACCTGTTTCAAGGAAGAAATCTACATGCTGGACCCTAAAGACACAGCATCAGCCCACTGCTAAAACTACTTGAGATCAGCTTTCTAGGACCTTGAAATTCCTGCCAATCAGCCTACAAACTACAGATCTTCCCCCTCAACAAAAGCTCTGAAGAAATCTTATGTGAGTATTAACCCCTTAAGAACAATTTACTTGCTTAAAGAAATTTTAAGCGCTCAGAGGAATATTTTAACAATTTTTCTTCCTTTAAGTTAAAGAAATTTTCTTTCACTTTCTTTATTGTGTGTATATCCCTTTACCTTTTTTTAGTGCATGTAATTAAATGTTTTCTTCTTCTATTGTTACACCCTGAGCAGGAGATTGAATTGTTATTCTTCTGCCTTGTGGTGAATACGAAATAAAAATAACTCTTTTTCTCTATTGTTTTCAAATTTGTGAGCCCATGCAAAAATTTATTTTGACCAATAGAAAAAGGGATTGGCTCCGGGCTGAAGAAAAGACCAAGGCAAAGTTTAACGAGCTTATGTGAAAATTTATTTTGACCAATGGAAAAGAGATTGGCTTACAAACTGAGAAAAATGTAACTAGCTGATGTGAAATCACTTTTTGATATAAATAGGCAGAGAAAGTTGAATCAAGGCAGTGAGAGAGAAAAAGCAGAAAGTGGCTGGAGGCAGAAAGCCAAAGTTCCATGTGTCTGAATAAGGCTGATGTCAAATTACATGCTGATACATTATCAGCCACTAATGAGAGCAGGGTAATTTCAAAGAACTCTATTCAACACAAAATCCAATTAATTTAAAATATATTTTTTCATTCATGTAGAATACAACCTTATAACTTTTATGCGAAAAACGAACTCCCTCAATTTGTTTTAAACATTTTGTAATATTACTTTGTATCTGATTTAATATGAACATTTTTCTCTTTCTGACAATTCATCGAAAGTACAAACTTTAAATATTTGATTCTTTTTCCTGAAACAAGCTAATGACAACTTCAAATGTGTAAATTTATAAATTCCTTATCTTGTTTTGTTAAATATAATGTGTACTTCCTCATCATTATCTCTCAATACTTTAGCCTAAAAGAAAGAATTGTCTACTGTAAACTTTTAAGCCGTAGTTGCTTTTATCAATTCTGTCACCTTTAACCGTAACCCTTTCATGTGGGAAAGCTGGGACAAATTTCCTACAATTGTTTAATTTTTATAATGCTGGTCACAAAAAATCTGATTTTTTTTGTTTTTGTTTTTACAATCTTTGTGTTGAAGTATTTGCTAGTTTGGATTGCAATAAATAGTAAAACAGTAGTATTTCTTAAACAATATTTCATTGATAAATGAAAGATAGCTATTTTAGTTTTAAAAGAATAAGTTTACTTCTAGGTATGTAAATGTCACTATATCACGATTAAAAAATATTCAAGACTGGTATTCAAGAAATGTGAGTTAGAGAGTCTTAAGTGGTGGTGGTGGGGGGAGCATAATTTCATTACATCAATTTGAACTTCACAATATGCAAAGTTTTACAAATCAAATATTATTTAAGTCATTTTTACTAAAACCGTTTGGTTTCATTATACCAGGTTTTTATTTAAAGAATAATTTTTTTTAACACACCCTTCAAAAGAAGTTTACATTTCTTTATTATAAATTTTTCTAACTTTGCACAAACACATGAAGATTGAAGAGTAATAAATAAGGCTGTTGACACTGAAGTTAACTTTTTAAATTATGCAAATTAGAATAGTAAAAACAAAAGTAATTTTTCCAGAAACTTAAAAGTAAAACAAAATTAAAAATAGTATGTCATTATGACTTATGTCCAGTATTTTTTTTGCAAATAAAGGTAAATAGAACGATTTCCTTAAATAGTTTTTTGTTTTTTCCACTTGAAAAAAAAACAAACTATTAGGGACTCGAATTTTAAAGAGTTGTAAATAAAATGAGTTTGTTAGTTGTATAGATTGAATTTATATTGTATAATCTTCTTACACCATAATTTTCATGGAAAAAGTGGGCGTTATTTTGGAAGGGTAAAATGTTGCTGGGTACGAGAAATCTCGTGTGGGTGATAATTGGAACGAGAATACGTGTAGCAGGTGGGCCGTCATGGCGATGGATAAATTGAGCATGCGGATGGAACGACTTCGTGAGATGGTACAAGGACAATTAGAAGGACTGTCCAAATGGCAGTTAGCTTTGTTGTTCGGTACGCCTGTCACTCTTGGACTTGTTGGATTTATTTATTACAAGAGCAAGAAACATAAGAAGAAATCCGATTGCAAAGGCAACTCAGCGGCCGGCGCGAGGAGCAAAGAGAGAGAAGCCGAGGTTTGTTTTTCTTTTAATAGTAGCTTTCAATAGTTCTCTATATTGCACGTGATAAATTCCACTGCTCCACATATTAATATCTTGTAAATTTTTGTCTTGTCATCTTTTTGAAATTTACTTAAACATCACGAAACAAATAAAAAGTGGGAAGATTTTGTGCGAGGTGTAAAAATATGGGTGGCTAGTTATTGTAATAACATATCTGATCATGTTGCATTTTTACATCCTAAACATTTAGCTAGATAAAAAAACATATTGAAATTTTTTAAATCGGACTAAAAGAATGGAATTTAATTATTAAAACTTCAACATTGGAATTTATTTATTTATTTTATAAATTTCCAAATGGATCAAATTTTATAAAAAAAAAAAAAAAAAGCATGTTATTTTCTTTTTGTACACCCGTAGCTAAAAAACGTTCATCCGTTTCGGTTTGTTCATTCATACATTGACATTTCGATGCTGGAATAAAAATGAAAGAAAGAAAAAAAGCTTTTTCTTTCATTATCCATTTATGATGAGTAAAAATGCATACATATTTTTATTTTGTAAAATTTATATTGTAAACAAAAGAAAAATGTTCAGCATTGTAACCATTAACTGACGAAAATCAGTTAAGAACTAAGGAAGTGTTTACATGTTGTGGTTAAAAATGTGTCGTTTAACAATAACATTTTTACACAATGAGATTTCATTTGATTTTTTATAAGGAACAATCTGTTCTCAAAAATCGTTTCGTTAGCAGAAAATTCGTTAAACCTATAAATAATTAGATAAATCTATGATGTTTTATAAATATCTCTAGTCTTGGGTAGCAGCCACTCTCTAGAAAAATGAGTATACTATTGACTAATCTAAATTAAGAAAAAAATGTGGAAAAGGCAACGGGAAACCACTCCATGATCTTTCCCAATGAATCATAGCAATCAAAAAGTAAAGGAATCTGTGGAGAGCCATGAAGGGACATGACCTAAAATCCTTTCTTCTGTAGAAAATACTTTCAGTGATTGAAACAGGATAATTTTCAACAGGCAATCCTATTTATTTATTTATTTTTTTAAAGCATCGAATTTTCTTATTACTGCAGATTCACTTTCATGGACGTTAGCATAAAACAAAATATTTTCCTCTCTCTTTTTTTTCTTCCTGTTTTGTTTTTAGAATAAAGCCATGAGTTTTTTTTTTTCACTTTTCATGTAAATTGTAAAACTGGGATTGCTTTTTCTGAAAGTAAACCATATTTTCTTAAAATAAATACTCCTTTTTTCCCTGTTTAAATGACTGGAAATATTTTCTATAGAAGGAAAGATTTTTTTATGCATATCCCTTCAGGACGTAGACGGTCATGGTTGTCCACAGATTCCTTTTCTTTGCTATCTGGGGATTATGATGATTTATTGGAAAAGATTCTGGAGTGGTTTCCCGTTGCATTTCCAAGTTTTTTAATTCAGAGTAGTCATTACTGATTGCCACACAAGGGTAGAGACCTCAGTCTACCCTGTTATTTAACTCATAGCTGTGAGGAGATGTAATGGATTCATGCCTTTCCCAAAAAAACTCAAAAGTATTTGTGTAGAAATGGATGCAATAGGCAAGACTAGAATTAGAACTAGACTTGATGATTCAATTTTTCGTGCTAATAACAAGAAAAAAAATAAAAAAAATATAAAACAAAAAAATATTCAAAATCTAAAACACAATTTTATCTATAAAAGTAGGTACCATCACAGAAAGGTTTAAAATGAATTTTCAAAAATGTTTGTTTAGCACCCTTTTTTAGTTTTCTTTTCAATGTAATTATCTTTATTAAAAAAATCTTCCAAAAATAAAATATACTTTTCAGAAATTTTATTTGAATAAAAAAATGCAATAAAAATAAGACATTTTTTAATTAGAAAAGTTTTTAATTGTTCATATGAATAAAGTAAATTGACACTATTGTCTTAAGGAAAACAATTTGATGAATAATGAATTTTTACAAGAATTGTTTTCATTTTTTTTTTTTTTTTTTTAATTTTAATTATAATAATTTATAAAGTTTTAAATCTTTTAAAATTCTGTCTTACTTTGTAGAGAATTATTAGGTGATACTGTTAAGTAAAAACTATATTTACTAATTATAAATGGAAAATCTATACATGTACAATATATATTTTTGAAAAAAAATTTTTTTTTTTTTTTGTAAATAAATATGTCCATACACAACATTGTTAGAAAATAGCAGCAATAACAATAAATCCAAAGTACCTGAAATTCAATAAAACATTATATTATGGAGAATATTTTCCTAAATTTTTAAGATTACTGAGTAGTTAAAAATCATATAAAAGGCGCTCATGTTATATTCCTCAAGTAATTTTTACAGATGTATACACTGTAGAAAAACATTAGATAAAATTCTGTCTGTCAGTCAAGCTGTCAACATGTTAAATAAACAGCTATGGCCATGTTAAAAAAATGCATTTCTAAAATATTTTAATGTTAAATAATATTTGTTTCAAATCAGATTCATTAAACTTTAAATCAGCTAATATTTCTCAAATAAAGTTACTGAAAATTATATTTTATTTTTGAAAGATTTTTTAATAAAGAGAATTATGTTGTGATGATGGAAGACTAAAAATGGTGCTAAAATCAGTGATGGTATTGATTTCAAAACCAAAACTTATTCCAGTAAATTTGGATTAGTCTTGAAATACAGCAAATTATTTTGTTTATTAGAAATATTAAATTTAATCTATCAGCTTGAAATTAAAACTAAGATAAAAGTTTCAAGACAGATTTTACAAAATTCAATTTAAATATTAGATATCATATTTTCTGTGGAGGTACTGATATAAAAGTTAGGATTGCTTTTGAAAATAACCATATCTGTTTAAATATTTTGTTTTCCCCTACTTCAATCACAGAAAATATTTTCTATAGAATGAAGGATATTTTTTATGTCATGCCCCTTCAGGATATGGGTGATCATGGCTCTCCACATATTCCTTTTCTTTATTATTTGTGGATTATCATGCCTTTTTGCAAAAGATGGTTTCTGGTTGCTTTCTCTATAGTTTTTAATCCAGAGTAGGGTTTTTGTAGACTGACAAGGCTAGAGATCCCAGTTTACCCTGCTATTTAACCCATGTCCATGGGGAGAAGAGATGGATTCATTTTTCCTAAAGGTATTTGTGCAGAACTGAATGCAACAGACTAAGCTAAAATTAGAATTTGGTTTGTCAGTTCCATATTTTGTGCTGATTATAACATGCTTACTGACAATACACATTCTCTACAGAAGAATAGATATTATTTTGTTTTTATTTTGCGTTGGTATTCTTTCAGCATAAGGCACCAGACAGGTGGTGGATATTTTAAGCAAGTATAAGTGATATAATAAAGTAAAGAAAAAGTCCAACAATGTTAGGTTAAAAGCTGCTGGGCTTGTGATGAGTGAAGATGATTTTGATGGGGGATTGTGTTGTATTAGATCACAGCCATTAGGGGGACCAAGTTTTTCTTCAGGGTAGGGTAGTAGCCAACCATTCTGTGTCCTACTCTGAAGTTCAGCTTCATAACTCCACCTGACATGTTTGGGAATGTGGTACTCCAATATCTCATTACACAGAGCCTCTGGCACTTGTAATTCTGACCACTTCCAATTTGCAGTCCAACAATTCTGGGTTTGGTCAAACTCTGTGCAGAAACCTGGCTCATTAAGTTGGGAGTGGTGGTGTTGTCCCCATAATCCAACAACTTTGAAGCATGGTCAGGTGGCTGGTTTGAGTTTGGGGGTTCTGTCATATTTTGCATTATGGTATGTTATTGCCTTATTAAGCCACTAAGCTCTCATCATGGTTAGCTGGAGGGTGCTTCAGCTGATCGTGCTGACCTAGTTGAGGGCAGAAATGCAGTAGACAAAAGTTTCAAACAGCAGTGTGATCATACCCATGAATAGTGTGCATAGACACGCCATTCAATATAATTGAATCCCTATCTTATTTCACTGCAGATTGATTGAAAAGAGTCTACTTTCATTTAGGCATTTTCAGTGTCTGATTGCATTCCCTATAGGAAAATTGTGTGAGGACATGGTTGTATTTTGTTGCTCTGGTTTTCCAAGACTAGCAGGTGATTGTAGGCATCACTCATGTTGTCCAACTGTTGAGGACCAGAAGGAATGGTTGATGAGAATGGTATAATCAGAATACTCAAGTTCAAAGACGTGTTTATAGATCTTGTCCAGTGCCTGGGGATGGCAAAAGTTGAATAAACTGCCATCTTTGTTATATTGTGAGAGAGATACTATCCTTCAGGTGAATTGAGCACTTTAAGTAAAGGTTTATAGATGCCATGAAAACAATACAGATCAATACACAAGCCTGCTTGACTCCAACTCTCACATGGAACTATTTTGACTCTATACAGCACATAGAAATGTCATTGTGAAAGTCTTTGATGATACTCCGAAAGATTGGAGTTCATCCAGACTTTGATTGAATGCTCTATAGGATCTCTCGGGTGACAGTGTCAAACACATTGGTGAGATCAATGCAGGCAATGTAAAGATCATGGTTTTGCTCACACACGTAATCCTGAATGAGGTGGGCAGTAAAAATCATGTCTATCATGCTGTGCCCAGAATTAAACTCACACTGTATCTTTGTTAGCACATTAATAATGTGGTAGAGATGTGAAAGTAACCCCTTCAACCCTGTCCTCATGTGATTTTCGTGTAGAGAATGCAGATCTTGAGAATGGAAGTATGTTCACATATCTCAGCTGTGTGTTTATGAACAATCCAAATCTGACAGGAGATTCTGTTCTGTGTTCAACTTGCCGCTGCAGCATTTGGTCAAATTTTTAAATATATCTTCCTCCTAAACAGAAATCTCACTAGTATAACCAAAGTTACCATCTTCAATATGTTTCAGTTCTGTTATAAGGTTGTTGCCATTTGGGAACTCAAACGATTCCATTTGTCCTACCTACAAAGAATCCTCGGGTTACATTACTGGCAGAAGGTACTGCATGTCGAAATTCAGAGACATTCAATCAGCAGTTATCAAAGCCATGCTTGTCAATCAACAGCTATATACATATTTTAAACTTTTTTTTTTTTTTTTTTTTTTTTTAAATATTCAACTTAAAATTTTAATAATGGTCATTTTCTAGTTAACAGTTTTGGCAAATAGCATCTAATTAAAATTTTAAATTATGTAACTAGTTTTCTATACTATTTAAAAAAAATAATTCTCAGAACATCTAAAAATTAATTTAATCTTCATGCCAACTCATAGCTGATTATTGTATTTTTTCAAAAATTTTCTAAAACAAAAAAAAAAAATGAACTTGTATAAGTGCTCAAGTGGAAAAATTATTTTTGGTAATAAAAAAGAAATTTCTATTTATTTATGAACCTCTTAATAGAAAGATTACGTATGACATGAATTTCTGTTGTTGCAACTTCTCTGATTCATCTGAGAATGATGGAAATTTTTGCTGCAATTGGTTATTGGATGTTCATGAAAATTGTACCTTGTAACAATTGTGTAGAGAAAGGATCTGAAAAATTTATGTACATAATTCTTTAAATTTTTTTGTTAATAAGGTGTTTTCCCATAAAAGTAAAAAAATAGTTTTATGTAATTTTTAATTTAAAAATCTCACTTTTTATTTTATGTTTTTTTTTTTTAAATCAGATATTTTTGCCATCAGTGTTAAAAAAGAAAAAAAAATACATCTATTTTATTATTGCATTTTAACATAAAACCTTGTCTTTTCACTTTTCAGCCACCTCTCATTGACCAAGCTGTGGAGACCAAAAAGCGAGGCAATACTTTGTTCAAGGCGGGAAAATATACAGAAGCTATTGATTGCTACACAGGGGCCATTGCCCTCTGTCCTTTGGATAGACCAGATCAGTTGGCTACATTTTATCAAAACAGAGCAGCTGCTTATGACCAGTTGGTATGTCCATCTTGCTACAAATTATTTCTCTTTGGTTTAACTTGAAGTTAGGTGAAACATTGTTAATTAATATAATTGTTTTGATGCTTACTTTTACATCATAATTTTAGTCGCACTTTTTTTTATTACACTCTCTCTGATCCTTATACTATAAATAATGGCCTGGTCTAAAAGCAACAATGTGTGTAGATTTGACCTGTAGCTGTTTATCTTTGTATTCTAATTGGTAGGCAATTGTTGTACTGAGACTTCTAGAGGAAAATGGTTTATCTAGCCAGAGACTTATTTTTGATTTCTGATCTGTACTGCTTGACAATGATTGTAGAATGATGGTCTGAGAAGTTGTGTTAAAAAACAGGTGAAATTAAGATGAAAGAAATACTAGTTGAAAAAAGTAATTTTTTATTTTCCCCTGATATTTGCTAAATTTAATCTTGTACAAAAGGTGAAATAGGAGCAAAAAGAATGTGTTCTGTCAATCTTCCAAATGTCCTTGGAAGGCCTGCATACCTTGAAAATCTGCATTTTAAATCTTGGTTTTTATTCAGGTTAAACATTACTCTCTCCAAAGAGAAAATAAATATATTGAAATATTTACTAAACTTATCTTAGTCTGGAACAGTGGCTAAATAAGTGGAAATTGGTGATAGAACCATTTTTTTGCGGTAATTATTTAAGTGAGATAGCCTACTTTGAAATCAGTTCCAGTTTTTATCTGAACTTGGACATCAAACACTGACACAGGTGGAATGGACAGTTACCTCAAGTATGGAATGGTCTCCACTTGATTGTTTTCTTTATGGGCATCCATACATGCCAAGAGTATGCAAAATTAAGAATTTATTATCAGCTTATTTTAAATTTAATAAAATCAAATGAAGTAACTGAGCCTGAATTTCACACAATCATATTGTTGTATTTGAATTTCATAAACTTGTAATAAATGCACAAAAAAAAACTTTATTTGAATGGACCAAATAAAGAATTTCCAGTGATATCAAATGTACTATTCAACAATATCTTTTCCTAATAATTCCTATAGGCACAGTTTATATCTTGTCTGTTATAAAACATATAAATGAATTATTTAAAAAATATTTATTTAAATTAGGTAAATAATATATAGTAAATAAGACTAATAGCTTTACAATTTCTAACTTACAGCTACAGACTATCAAATCTGGTAAATGTTCATTTTCTATATTCATTGTATACCTCTGCACAAAACAAAATGATGACTATAGTCAAATAAAAAAAAAAATACTAAAACAGCTGCTTATTCTGCACAGGATTTGTGCTATTATCTTCATCTTTGTTGTTTTTATTACAATGTTTTGTCACCAATATGTTCTTGAGTATTGTCTAAAACTATTTCATGTCAACAGAAACAATTTTTTAACTCACAAATTCTAAAGCTTAAGTTTATGTGAAGAAAGAATTTCCTTCTATAAAATTATACAGCTCAAAAGTAAATTGAAAATTAAAGTGTGGAATTAAATCTGTGCAAAAGCTTCTTTTTTTTTTCTTTCTTTTTTTTTAAAATGATTTTCATTTTGTGCAAGGCCTAAGACCCACTTGAGGTTGAGGGTTACACAATAAAAGGTACAGTTATAGGGATATGCGGGGAAGACAATGGTTAACCCTAGACTTGAACAGGTTAAGATTGTAGTGATTGAAGGAGCATCCTCTTGTGAGTCGGTTCCATAAAGAAGCAGTTTGTGGAAAGCAAGCTGCTTGAGTGAAACTTAATCTCACCAATGGAACTGGAAGGGACTGTGAGTAGTTCGCTACAATGGGTGTGGCATGGAGGGCCTCATTCTGGAAGGTTAGAACTGGTGGAACTAAGGAAAGTAGTCTGTCTGAACATTTTCCATAGAAATAGCAACAAAGCAATGAGGGACTTGCAATATTTCATCTGTGGGAAAGAGATTGTAGGGTGGGAAATAGTAGAGAGTAGAGACACTTTTGAACTCTATCAAGACTGGAAAGTTCCTGCCCATATATGGCAGGAATACTCCATTTTCAGCCTGATCTGGTTCTTGTAAAGGTAGGGGATAACAAGAGGAGTCAGGTACTTACTGGAGTGGTACAGAGAACCGACCATTTTTCCAATATTAGAGAACACCCGTTCATTGTGATAGGCAAAAATTCAGGGTCTGCTTGGTGATGATAGAATGTCAGTTTGGTTTTTGCCTCAGTTTCTTGTACTCTTATTTCTAATCATAAAGCTTGGTAGTTTTATTTTGTTTTTCTCATCTGATCAAATTCTTAATAAGACTCTGTCTATAACAGATAACAATTCCATGTTCCCTATTATAAAATACCTGCTAAGTACATGTCATTATATTTCTGCTTTTATGAGAGACAATTATTTGAACTCTTAATTTATTTGGAAAATGTAGTCAGCAGGTTGAGATCAAATTCTGGCCAAGGCGGTTTATGTTCACTTCAAACCAATGTCCATTTCTTCTCCTCTCAAGACTAAACTCTCTAGACATGCTAGGTCAACTAGTTTAGGAGAAGGAAAACTCTTAATTTAAAATCATGGTGAAGGTAACAGTGGTGGGGGTACACTCTGTTATCACAGGTATTAAAGAAAAGGAAGCTGCAAAGAGTCATGAATACCTATGTTCTGAAAGGATATAGCATTTTAAAAAAGGAAATATTATGACTTGTATCATTAGTAATTATTCAATGGATTCTTTTTCCTACCGAGAAATGTTTGTTTTACTCATATTGGAGGCCAAGAAGTTTTTCTAAATATTTTCTTTAATTTCTAAATTCTTTTTAGCATAACATATATAGAAATAATAATCAATTCTTCATTCCATTTATTTTTATATATATATATATATATATATGTGTGTGTGTATGTATGTTTGAGGTGTTGAGGAGGCATAGCACCTCCAACAGAGGAACAGCCATACTCCTTTGGAAGTAGTTTGTCTGCATTGGTTTCTACCCACTACCCAGCTATCACTTGTGGCTCTAAGTAGCTGTTTGCTTGCAACAATGGCTATACTACTTGAACTTGCACCCAAACCAGTTGAAGGTAGTTGACAGGTTTAAAACCTTAATAATTTTGGGTCTGTCAGCCCTATTGCATGTGAAGATTGATTCTTGGTGGAGTGGGCAGATGAAATCTATTACAGATCCAATAGATTGCAGTGTCCGCAAGTTACTTTGGAGTACATCAGAATATGGATGTGACATCTGCATCTTGGAATTCTCTGGTTGTAATGATTCTTTGTATCACTGGATGAAGACCCCTTAGGCCAAGATAGTGGGATTACTATAAATTCTTCCTGCATATCTGTTTTGAAAATTCATCTAGATTCACTTATGAATCTTCTTTGGGCCCAAAGGACAACCATGGTATATAAGATGCAGAAGTTTCAACAACTTTTGATAAAATCTTTTATTCATATTAATTCATAGCATCATTATTGTTGTAGCATACCTATGGACGATAATGGCTATGCCCCCATTCCCATAAATACAGTAGTGAGTACTGTATGTGTTGGTCTGCATAGTAAAGAAAAGAAATAAAATTGTAAACTTGTAGTAGTAATAAATGCCTGCAATAGGTTTCTTCTGTCTCTTGACCGCAACACTTGTAGCCATATCACAGTTCAAGCATTAGTCTGTTGTAACAGTCCAACAGGCAATGTAGAAATGACAAAATAGGGTCACAAATCCAAACTTCACTTCTAACCAGCAAAAATGCGTGTTTGTCCACCAAGCTCAGAAACAATCCTTCTGCCGTAAATGAAAAACAATTTATTTATTCACCGAGTGATTTTTCTGATTGGCCACATCATTCAGGGGAGAAAAGAACATTAGCATAGATTCTGATACTTAAAGTAGTAGATTTTTGTTAACTACTTTCATGAATTTTTCTTCAGCAGACTACACACAAAAGACACTCTTTTTTTGAGGTAGGTGATTATTTCTTTCACTACAGAATCCCACCAAACACAGAACAATCTTACCTCACAGTAGATTCTGTTTGGGTTGAAATGTTGAAGGTCTTCTTGGATCTGACCACAATTTCCTATGTTTTGGATTTCATAATCTATTTTTCATGGTTAGTGTCTTTTCTTCTATATTGAGCAAAAAAAAAAAAATTATTTAAATACTGACCTGTGTTTTTTTTGTCAGCTTTCTTTCAAAACCATTTCAAATTTTTCTTAGAGCTTGTAAACTATAATGTAATTTCACAAGCAATAAAGACCGGAATAATCTTTAAACACTTCTAAGATTTCTCTAACATTGTACAACAGGGAATTTTTATTATTAGCAAAATATTTTCATCACAGTTGTTTTTAACACATCTTTGTCAACATTCTTTGATCTGCCTCAAGTGCATTCTTCATTTGTTGTTCAGTAGTTATATTTTGTTCATTTTTCTCACCTTAAAAAGCTTCAATTTCTTTTGCAACTCTTGGTTTCATAAAAATTTGTCTTGTTTTTAATGTTGTCTTCATTTCTGAGTTAAAAAAAACAAACTTTCCACATCTACTACCCACCAGGTGAAACATGAGAAGAGTTGGGTGAAAGAAGCTTTAATGCTGATTCAATTTTTTTATTGCTTTATGAAGTCTTTGAAACTCTCCTTGTTGAAGGCTGGACCAAACTTTTATGGTCAGAACATGAAGAAAAATTGAATTAGGGTTCAATTTGTGGATGCAGTGAATATGTCAGAATTAATCTTCTCCTGGGGTTGTCTTTAAGTGAAAAATTTGTTCCACTGAACAAAAACCGGCAACACCATAAAAATTGTTATTCCCTCTTATAAACCAAAAACCAATGATCATTCTATCAGTCCCAAGCAGAATCCACTCTCATCACTTCATCAGCGAGTGTTCACAACCATGTAGGTGACCATCATTTGCATTTTTATTCCCTGTTGAAAGGAGCATTATTGAGTTTATAGCAACATTAATAATGCTCACTTAAGAAGCCTTAAACAGGTGTTAAAAATGACAGGTGAAGACTGAAGCAGATTGAAAAACCACAATGTTATAAACTTTCAAGCAAACCTGAAAAAGAAGCCTGTCCTTAGCAACAAGTTGGTCTTATATGACTTTATTAAACCAAAGAAGGTAAAAGAATATATCAGTTAAAATGGTGAGATAAAAACAAATTGGTTTTCATATCTGTAGTGTTTATATAAAGCAGATGAATAAGAAGTACAAAGTGACTTATTAGTAAGTCTCACAGTTTTGAGGCAACCAAATATAATTCTAACAGTTTTAGGAATTTTTTATTCATCATAGAACATGGCAGAGAAAATAAAATTGTGTTATCTACTGCACAGCCTACTGATTATATATATATATATATATATATATATATATATATAAAAAGAAATAATCACACATAGAATCAATCAGAAGTATTAATGCGATTATTGGCGACATCCATCGCTAGAAACATAATATATGCATTAAAATACTGTTAATCCATAGATTTTATAAGGAAAAAAACACATGCCTGATGATGAATAGAGGACTATTCGTAAGTACTAGCATTTTAACATCAAATAAACTGAAAACTACAGACATCAAGTTTATTGACGAGGATCACTTCACTCTATGGATTAACAGTATTTTAATGCATATATTATGTTTCTAGCGATGGATGTCGCCAATAATCGCATTAATACTGATTGATTTTATGTGTGATTATTTCTTTGTATGTAAATTATATGCTGCCTAATGTTTTAAATGGCTCCACATGTCACATTTCAAGCTAATTTCTAATAGGCCTATTTGGTTTATAGTCAATTTATATCTATTTTTATCTAAAACATATTAAAACCATCCAAAAATACACAAACTTTTTCTCTTTTTAAACAGAAAAGTAATAATAAAAGATTGTAAATCAGCAAAAAAGTTATTAAAGAATTAAGCAGTAATACAAAACAAATACAAGTAATAAACTTACTAACAGTTTCTCTATAAATCACTTTTCTTTTAACCTTTTTAATATTTTTTTTTTTTTTTTTAAAAACATTCTATAATATTTTTTCGAACTTCATCCAATGAAAACTTTTGTTTGTTGTAAAATATATTTACAACAATTTTTGCTGCAAAGTGATTTCTTTTTTTTTTTTTTTTTTTTTCAGTCTGTTGTTCACAAGTAAAAACATTTTGGAGAATAAGTTTCCAAAATTCTTTTAGCAGGCTCTGTTGTAATGGATCCATTATGCTTAATAATAAATTTATTTGCATAGACAAGTATAGCAAAACAAGCACAAATGAACTCTGCCATTTGGCTTAATGGAACTGTAAGATCTCCTTGAGAAAGTCAGTCAAAGTACTGCTTCTCTGTAACATCATCACTATCATTGCCAGAGAACACATTTCACATTGAACATGTTTAATTAATTATTTAATTTTCTCTAATAATGAAATAGATGGTAATGAAAATTTCTTCAAAAGTAATTTGTAGGCTTGTTATGATGTATAGCGCAGTAGTAAGGTATAATGTATTAGTTCTCCAGAAAATGAAAGACAGCCTCTTGGTTGGTAATGTTGTCTTTTTTTTGTAATTCTTTTAGAAGTTAGTATGGTTGTTCTTCCACCACGTTTTGTATGTAGTTTGGAAAATTTTCTAACATGCTAAATCTTGTGGGTTTAGCATTATGTCCATGTTTAAACCATTGTAGTAATGTATAGGGGTTTCATCGCATTGGATCTGGACATGATACATTCTTTTATAGGTGGAAAATGTGTTTCAGAGTCAAAGAGTATTCTATAAATTAGATTTTTTTTTTTTTTTAAATTCAAAACCGTTAGGGCAACACTTTGCTTCTTCCAATTGAGTAAAATCCTTTATTGTAATAGCTGAAATAAAATCATGTAATTCATCAGTTTGGACCAGTCATTGTTTTGGAGGCTTTCTGAATTCCCCTGTATCCAGTAAAAGAGATGGTTTTCTTTTCTTTTTCTTTTTAATGTAGGTATTGGATGTAAATCCCAATTCAGTTTATTTTGTTTCCCTTTCAAAATAAATTTCTCTTCCAAATTTTTCATACAGAAAACTGAATTTTTTATAGGAAACCAATCAATATGATTAATGAATTTTATACATTTTTTTTTTTTTTTTTAAAGGACGAATTTTTCAAGAGGAAAAGAAAATGTTGACGCTTTTTCACTGTTAGTAACATATCCACTAGAACAGCCAACACATTTATTAACCATTTTTATTAAACAAAATATCACAACAAACTTTATAATTTAATCTTTAAATGCAATGGACTATGAGGTAGAAAATTTACCTAATAGTGTTTATTTGCAAAACGGTCCTTATATGCAATTGAAAATCATAAAAGTGATTTAACTCACAGATGTTTATAATTTGTGGATTATTAAAAAAAATGTGTAAATATGCATTTAGTGTTGAAAACATGTCTAGGGAATTGAAATAATGTCTGATAAATTCTATGTAATTGTACATTGTTAATTTGTTAATTTACATTCTATGACTTCAATTTTTAAAGTTATCTCCCTTTTAGATTAGCAATTTTCTAAGTGCCCATTTACATTTTCTTTCTTTTTTTTTCTTTTTTTGTTTACATTACATTGGTCTGTTTGAATTCACCTTGTTATGTGACATTTGGGACCTTACATTTGTTAATGTTTACTTGGCAGTTTGTTTGTGTGCACATGTCATCCTTTTTATTCAGGAATTGATCATGTAACTATGGGCAGTAGTTATAATATATGATCTGTCCCAGATGGTGTTCAATCTAAAGACTCTCTCAGTCACTTTACTCATTTACTTATATTGAGAATTGCCCAGATGTCAAGAACGTGATGTATTAATGATATCACTTACAAATTTGTTTGCTTTGAATACATATTCTTTGAAAACCAGATGCCTGTTTGGTGAAAGCAAAGTGTTTTGTTGGTGAAATTTTTTGGTCAAGTTTTTCTGTAAGGATTTCAAGTAAATGATATTTGAATAAATCTGCTTTTTATCCTAAGATGACCTCCAGAGACATAAGTAAAGATATTCAGATTAATCTGTTTTGCCAACCCACTTAGGCCAAAGTAGCAGGGAAGTGAACAGGGCAGTGTATTTACTTAATTGTGAATTGTTTAATAAGTTAACCATTGATTTGAACCCTACCAAGGTCTTCCGCCTAGTGCAAGGGTCGGCAACCTGCAGGCCGGATCCAGCCCACGAAGACATTTTGACCGGCCGGCGAGCCTGATTACCAATGACTCTATTTTTAACATGTGAGACATATTTTACCAAGTAGCGTTGCCTATGTTTAATGTCAAATAATGGATACATATTTGTTATGACACTTGGCTACATTAAAAGATAAAAGAAGCGAAAGGAACGATAAAGTGAAATAGGCCACGGAAGGGACTGACATGCGAGGTAGCAGAAATCTAAAGACAGTTAAACATACGCGCATTATACATACATGCCTCATGAATGTGTGGATGATACCGCATGTGTACGTATGTAAGTGTATATGTTTGCAACTATTTTTACTCGTATGTATGGGTATATGTGCATCGTTTTTGTTTGATGTGTGTGCGTGTGGTTCATTTGTGGAACAATTTTCAATAACAGTTTCAAACCTACACGTCGTAATTTCATCCATTTCACTTCGGTTGATTTTTTTCACTTTGAAGTATTTTGACGTTTCTTGAGGAAAAGTAATTTTTGTTAGGTATTTTTTAATTTTAGATTTTCTTTTGTTTTTCTTATTTCTCAATGTTTATTTTCATTTTGGTTTTAAATATTTAGGTTGACAGGGTCTGCATATGTAATTTTCCTTAATTTTTTCATTAATGGCCTTCGTCCGCCCAAAACCCGTCATTATAACACGATCCGACCTCACGGGGATCGAATGAGTTGCTGACCCCTAGCCTAGTGTCAGCTGATTTCATTTATTGCAACTTATTAACATTTTTAATTAGTTTTAGTTTTTTCAATTTATTTCCCCTCCAATTCAGATTTAATCAACAACATATCCTTTAGATTTTTTCCTGGTGACACGTCCAAAAATGGGCTCTGATATCACATTTTACTTAATTCACTGACTGCCTCAAGCCTCCTTTGGGTGGAGGTTTACACATCTCAACAGGTGGAGGACCATTTTTGCCCTGTTATAGAACCACCTGAAAAATATATCAGCTGAAATATTCTATCAAAAACAACAAAGATGAAGATACATTTTCTGTTAAATGTATGAAATGTTGCAAACTAAAATCTGTGTTGACCAAGTTGAATAATTTCATTTATTTCACAGAATAACCATAAGCAAGTGGTTTCAGATTGTTCAAGGGCCCTGCGCCTGAATCCGAAATATGCAAAAGCTTTGAGCAGGAGGGCCAAATCTGCAGATCAACTTGGAGATTTAAAATTAGCGATAGAAGGTAATTGTTTTTTTTTTTTTTTTACCTGTTGATTTACACCTGTTTGTTATTTTATCTATATGTAAAAATCTTTTCTTTTCTACATTGAACCTTTTTGTTTTTTATGGTCAACTCATCTAATAAGATCATGAAAGGCAGTTGCTGTTTTGTTTTTTTTTGTTTTTTTTATTTACTAATCTTCACCCAATGCAAGGCCTAAGAGCCACTCAAATTAGAGGGTTACTGTGTGGAGTTATATTAGCATAGAAAAGAACAAGTGTTAGGAGTTTAGATCTGAAGTAGACTTGAAGAAACCAGAAACCCAATCCTAAATAGAGATAAACCTCTAATCCTGTTCAAAAAACTTGGAGTGTGAATCAGATAATAATAGTGTTAATTAGTTCTGTTAACTTCTTTGTCATGGACATCTTCACTCCAGTGCCTCTTCTATTGATTGTTGGACCCACAAAGCCTCTTATTTCATTCACTACCATTCAATTGTTGAAATCTCCCAGCAGACTTGGCACTTAAACAAAGAACTTGTAACAAAATGACCTTATTTTTTGGAAATCCATTTGTGTACTTCTAAAACCTAAGAGAGCATGGCTTCATTTGAAATATACAATTAAGGGGACCTAATTTGCATAACTTTGAGGTGGATCATTGAAAGGTAAAGCCTAAACATTCAGTTTGTTAGAAGACTGTACCAATTTTGAGTTTATTGATTTTAAAAAATGACCAAATTAACTATCCAGAAATTTACTTGCAGCCTACCATTAAAACCTGTTTAAAAAGAAAAAAAAGGTGAGGTTAGGTCAGTAAGTATTCCAACTAGTGGCATTATGGAACTAGAGAATTGCTCTGAGCGCAAATTCTGTAACAGGAGAGGAACATTCAAGAAAGTAATCTAAACTAAAATGTAAGAAAAATGAACATGATTTACATTCGAATTCATCTTTCCATTTTCTTTCTTTTGATAACAAAATATCTGAGGGCTATAAATGCTATAATAGTATTTCTAAGTAGGTTTAAAAAATTATTTTTCTAAGACCACCATTAATACTTTCATGGTCTTTTACAAAACAAGAAAAATGTTAAAATAATTTTTCATTCATTTATAAATGGTTTTATTTTGTCACTAATAATGTCTGCAATCAAATCTGGAGAAAAGAATTTGTGTAACCTAAAATCTCAAACAGACAGTTCCAAAGTTAGAAGTTAGTTTCTCAATTAGTTATTAAGTAGCCATTTTGAATAGCTAATTAACTAAAATAATATATCAACTCAAGTGCTACTAGTTTGTGGTTGTCTAGTTGGTCTTGGTATATAGATAGAACTCAAATTCCTTTGATAGAAACTGAAAGAAAAGTAGGTTGATTAAGTAAAGCAGTCCTTCACAACACCCCACGTGAGTGATAGTCATATGCTTTTGGCCATGGAAATCAGAAAAATTCATCTCAAAGTCACCGTAATTGTGTCAAGCTCACTGCTACACTACCACACTGACTAGCTATCTTACAAGGAACATTGTATGGTTTACCAATTTGAGTACTCCATTCCTGTTACCTCTTTTCCTTCCTTATATACTAAATTAAACATCACATGGTCAAAAGTTCTATGGCCACTGATTGACTCTCCAAATACCTTGTTTTCTGTTTAGAAAGGGGTTCCTGGTTCCTTTCCTTTTCTCAGGCCTTAATAGTGGTGCTGTCATGAATTTTTGGTGTTATGTGAGGATGGTGGCAATGTCTCTTCATACTTGAGGGTACAGGGTTGGTAGTTTTCTGTTTACTGTTTCCAACTGGTAGTTATGAGCCCAAACTCTTGTGTATCATCTTGAGAGGCTGCTCTGATCAACAGTTACATAAGTTTCTTGCAGTGCCATGTCGTGCATGGAAGGGTGTTCCTGTAAGCACCTCTAGTGGGCAACCCCAAGTTCATACTGTTGCAGTCTGCGTCACTTCCCTTCCTGCACATGTTACATTAGACGACCGACTACTATGTGAGGCCTTTCCTTACCAAAACAACACAACCATGACAATAAGATGCCAATGAGATATAAATCTAAACAAAAATCACTTAAGCCATTTAACCTTTCTTTCTCCAACATTTGTGATATTCATACCAACTTTTGCAATGTGGAATCCTTCCTCTTTGAAAAGTCATCAGACTCTCTGTGAAACTAATCTGAACTCTTCAATCCCCTCCTCTAATTTCTTGATTCCTGGCTATCTTCTCCTCCTTAGGAAGGACTTTAATGTTCACATGCATGGCCTGAAAGTTTATGTCCATGAACATCTCTTGTTGGCTAGGGAACTCTCTCTTGAATCTTCATATCACTCTTACATGTATCTCCATCTGCCTCTACTTAACTCATCAATCTCTTCTTTCTCTATCATTCCCCTTCTTCTCATGACTGTTGTGTGCTAGACAGTATTTCTGATAATATAGACATGGCTGTCTCTCTACATCCGTTTGCAGATATATTTGTGTTCAGTGACTTTAATGCGCACCATGCTAGATGCCTTAAACACTCGGTCACTGACCCTGATGGAATTCAGACCCTTAATTTCTCAATCTCTCATGCAAGTGGTGGATTTCCCCATGCATTTCTCTAGTAACCCTGATGGGCATGTTTCACTTTTAGATCTCTTTTTTACCTCTATTCTCGGCTCATGTCATACTTTGCAGCTCTGCCCTCTTGCCAGCTCTGATCATGCAGTAGTGTCTGTAAACATCTCTTTCCGCTCCCCTACTTGCTAAGAACCTCCTACCAACAGAATATCTTTCTGTTATTAACATGTGGATTGGGATTTGTTTTGTGACATCCCCTGGAATGCAGTTTTTAATCATCCTGCTCATAAATGAGCATCTGAGGTCTCATAGGTGAAAGCTGGCATCAATGCTTTCATCCCATCAAGGAAATACCAAGTTAAACCTCTTTCATCTCGTTGGTTCTCACCTGCATGTGTAGCTGCTATAACACCTAGAAATCATTTCTGGCTGTACCAGAGTGACATATCTGATTGCAACAGACATCTCTTTGTCTCAGCTTGTAATGAGTGCAAAGAAGTGAAGTTACTGTTTGCTGATAAAATAAATCAATGTATAGCATCTCAGAAGTTCGGTTCTAGAGATTATTGGCGGCTCCCCAAGAGGGTGCTGAACAACAGCAAATCCTTCATCTCTCCTCTATTCAATCAATTCAAAGTCCTGACATTTACAACAGTTAAGGTTGAATGTTTTATTGGAAACTCTCTTCCAACTCAATGCTCAACTCAGTTGAATTACCCACACTTGATTTCCCCACTAGAACAGAGGCTCTATTGAGTGATATGCACATAACCCCATCACATGTCTCGGACATTATTTCTAAACTAGATACACATAAGGCAAGCAGCGGTGACAGGATCCCAGCCCATTGTCCTAAAGTAATGTGTTCTCAAGATGGCTCCAGTTCTCTCCAAACTCTACAATTATTGCCTTGCTGCTTCCTGCTTTCCAGCTTGTTGGAAGTCCTACTCTTTAGTTCCTGTTTTTAAGAACTCTGGAGAACCTTCTGACACCCCCTCTCTCACCTTATTAGTCTCCTACCACTTTTCAGCAAAGTATTCAAGGCTTTAATCAATGCTGACATGGTTAAGCACCTTACCTCTCATGACCTACTCTCTGACAAACAATATGGCTTCCTTTTTGCCAGATCTATTGCGGATGTGCTAATGGCTATCACTGAATATGCATATCAAGCTCTTTATAATAACGGCAAAGCTCGAACTGTAGCTCTAGATGTCTTGAAGGTGTGTTGACAGGATTTGGCATGCTGGTCTTCTATGTAAACTCCAGTCGGCTAGTCATGTCAAGCACAATTACAAATTCATCCTCCAAAAACACAACAACTTCATAACCTTATCCAAAAAGAAAAAAAGAATCGTATACACACCAACCAAATTTCATCAAATTAGAAGGTTGTAACTAAAATGTATCATCAAGAATTAAAATTTATGTTCAATTTTATGGGGGCAGATAAATGAAAGAAATTATTGATGATTACATATAAACTATAAATCTGAGTATACCATTTTTGTATTCCTGAGATGCTTGGGTAAATGGGGTTCCCCCTCCCCCATCCATCTCCCATGATAGGGCTCCAAGGAGGGTGAGAGCAAAGATGAAAGAGAAAGATACATAATATAGCAACAAAGAAAATGAAAAGACCTCTATCTGAATCATGTTCTGATAACAAATTGGATGTGCTTTGTTCCTTCCTCAATATTTAGTAATGGAGTCATTTGAAAAACTTCTATTACAAAATCATCTTTTATAATTGAAAAAAACAATATATTCTGAAATTAATCCAGTAACTATAAAAAAAAAACATAAAATAACAATAATTCAAGAAGGAAAAAAATGTATGCAGACAAAATCCTCAAATGGTCAACATTTAATAATTTAAAAATCAAAACCTTATTCACATCAATCTAAACCTAGCTAGATGTGTAATCAAAAGTCCACTTGCTCTGTAGAAGGAATCAAAGCTAACCTAAAAACAACAAAATGTAAGAGATGGTATTTATCAATTCACCCACAGGAATTGAATGTGGCACAAGGCCTTTTTAATGTGGGTATGTCCGAGCCCGTAGGCCCAGCCAAAAATAAAACCCATCTAAACCCGACCAAGCGGGCTAGTTCCGTCAACCTCCCTCGAATCTAAACCCACCCTTCTTCGCGGAGCTTCGTCCGGGTTCCTCTCTACAAGCAGAGAGTTAGACAGACACCCGGCTCGGCAGCTCACAAAGCACAGATACTACACTTTGATCCTAGCCACCGGGCCGAGCGGGTATTCTTTTAAGAGATGTAACCAGAATAACAATGAAGAGAAATAGCCAAACCTTTGGTGCAAATGTAACTAAAACTCTGCAACACAGTGGTGAGTAATATGATTACTATGAATTGACAACACTAATTTAAGAGCTTAAGAAATTAAATGAAATGAAAACGGCAAAAAGCAAAGAGATACATTGCCTTCCATAATAAAACTGATATACCCAATCAAAATAGTGAAAATTCAAATTTTGTCAAACATAGAAACTAAAAGACCAAAAGAATCATCTAATCGCATATCTTGATCTAGTGATTCTTTACCTATAACACAAAGAGGAAGATCTCCAACAAAAAAAAAGCTAATACAAAAATCGAGAAAACATGCAACTTTGTCAAAAAGAAAACTCAATAAGGAAGAAATCTCCTAAAAACAATCCAGAAAGAAATGGAAACTTAAAGATAACCCAACAAAGGCCAAAAACCTCAATTTTAACAATGATGGATAATAAAATCATGCAATGGATTGCAAGAGAGGTAAAGGCCAATCAAGATGAATTGCTTTTGATTATTGCAGACCTATGTCCTGCAATCATATGCCTGCAAAAAAATTTCTTAAAGAAAATATAGATATAAAAAAAATTACACAAATTACAAAATGAAACTGCTCTTATTTAACCACCATAGAGAAACTTCTCTGCCCATCATCAGCATAGCTGATGCTTGACTCTTGTAGAACAACACACTGCACCTTCTTGGCCTCATGTTCTTCAAATGATTTGAAGTGGAATGACTACATCAAATCAATAGCTGTATCTACTGCAAGGAAGGTTGTGTCACTGTGTCATGCCAGGAGTTTTTTTTTTTTTTTGTCAGAGTCCATTTTACATATTTACAAATCTACCATTCACCTGTGCATTGAATACTGTTGCCATATTGGGTCTGGTGATCCTGCTACTTATCTTGAGGTTTTTGACAAAATCCAAAGAAGGATCTGCAATGTAATTGATCCTCACTTGGCATCTCGACTTCAGTCACTTTCTGACCAATGAGACATGGCTTCCCTCTGTCTTTTCTACAAATATTTTTATGGTTATTGTTCTGACAAGCTTTTTTCCCTGGTGCCTGGACTATGTATGTTTAAGTGTGCTACTAGATTAGCATCTAGATCCCACCCCTTTTACTGTTGAATTAGGTAAACGTAACAGCCATTTCTACTCCAACAATTTTTCCTTCTTTCCCTGATAACTACAATCTTCAAAAATTTAAATGCAACATCAATCGCCATCTTCTATCTTCTTGAACCCCATTCAGCTTTTATCATTTCTTTGGTCCCCCATCTTTACCCAGTCTTTTCTATCTCCTTCACTCTCTGTAACCCCCTGCATACTAATGGCATTCTCATTTTGCTTGGGATGAAGTCATTAAAAAAAAACACAAACTCTGGCAAAATTAAGGATGAAGTGAGGTTGGTGATTTACATCAGGTATGTCAAACTGGCGGCCTGTAGGCCGCATACAGCCCTTTACATGCATCTTGGTGGCCCTCACAAAGTTTTCTATAGTTGTGGTATATCGAGAATTTTGTCTGTGTTGGTAATGCAAATTATTAAAAACAGTGAGATTTTTTTCAATTGGTATGATTAGATTATTCTATCTCAATGGTTTTTTTGTTTTTGAATATCAGCAACTATTTTTAACTTCCAGATAATCATGTGATCATCCTTGACAACTAAATAAGAACAAATGTAAAGTGAAAAAGTTTGTAATTTTGTAATATTTTGTCTTAAAAATGTTGAATTCTACTCCATCTCATAAAAAGAGAAAATTATCTGAAGAAGGACGCGTGTTTCAAGAAAAGTTGGAATTAAAATACTTTTGTACCACTGTTAATGGAAAGATAAACTGTTTGATTTGCAACCACTGCATTGTGATGTCAAAAGAATATAATGTGAAAAGGCATTACGAAACAAACCATCGATCTTTTAAATATGAAGGAGATATGAGTGTTTTAAAAGTGAACGAATTCACGGCTAATTTAACACAGCAACAGAGTTGCTTTACAAAAATTCAGAAAGGCAATGTTAATTCTGTTACTGCAAACTTTGAACTCTGCAAAATGATTGCCATCAGTAGAAAATGTTACAGTGGAGGAGATTTCATAAAGCGATCTCTTGTAAAAACAGCTGAAATTATATGTCCAGAGAAGTCACACTTATTTCAAGACATTTCCTTAAGCAGGAACACTGTTGTTGAACAGATTGATGAAATGGCAGGTGATTTGAGTCAAAGGTTGAAGACTTTGTCATCAAGTTTTGAGCATTTTTCTATTGCTTTGGATGAGACTGTTGACATAGCTGGAATAGCACAGCTTGCCGTTTTCATCAAGGCTTGTGACAATGAATTTCAAATTTATGAAAAATTAATTGAACTGGTCCCAATACATGATACTAGAACAAGCCAGGATATTTTTGAGAAAGTTGATCAGCTTCTCCATTAGTATGACCTTGATTTGAGTAAACTTGTGTGGTTATCTACTGACGGTGCTACCAATATGGTTGGAAGACAATGGTATTGCTACCAAGTTAGGTACAAAAATAGAAAACACATATCCAGATTCAACATTCAATTTTTCACTGTATAACTCATCAACAGAACTTATGTTCTAAGATTTTAAAATTAGATCATTGAGTTGTATCATAAAAACAATGAACTATACCAGAGGTAGTGCTCTGCATCACCATCAGTTCAGCCAGTTATTGGAAGACATGAATAATCAGTTCATAAATGCCCTATTCTACACAGAAGTTCAGTGGCTTTCATGTCACAAGGTACTAAAAAGAGTTTTTTATTGTGACACAATTGTTTTTGGAGATGAAGGGTCAAAGCACAGATGAATTGAAAAATGAAAGTTGGCTCCAAGATGCAACTTTTTCAGTGGATATTACTACCCAATTAAATGACCTTAATTTGAAATTACAAGGTAAAAATAAGCTCATCACTCAGTTATATGATGATATCAAGTGTTTCATTGCAAAATTAGATTTATTGAAGTCCCAGTTGTCACATGAAAACTTGATTCATTTTCCTATGTGCAAGGAGTTGAAAAAAACTGCCAATACTGAGTCTGTATTTATCTTTGCTAAGTACAACAATTACCTTGGAATTGCTGTCAAAGGAATTTCAAAGATTTTGTAATTTTTCATCTTGTGAAGATCAGTTTGCATTATTCTTAGCACCATTCACTTTTGATGTTGCTCAGGCAGAGTAAAGTCTACAGATGGAACTACAGGAAATGCAGACTGACTCAACACTCAAAGGAAAGTACCGGGAAGTGGGGGTACCCGGATTTTTTTCGTACCTTCCTCAGACATTTAAGAACTTCAGAAAGTTTGCCACAAACATTATGGCGATGTTTGGTTCCACATATCTATAAGCAGTTATGAAGGCCACAAAAATCATCTCACAGAACCAGATTAACATTTGTCATCTTTGATCAAAGTGGGATCTACACAGACATTCCAACCTGATATATTGAAAATAATTTGTCTAAAGCAATGTCAATCATCAAGACAACATAAAAATGATTAAATTGTACTACCTTGTATTGTAAGTATTTTGTATTTAAAGTTTAGTTACCACTAGCTGTGATTAATGTAAAACTGTAAGCAGGTGTGGCCCTTCATATCCCCTGAGTTTTATATACCTGATTTACATAGTTGTGAATGATTTAAGGTCTTACTAAATTATTCCCCTTTTCAAAACTCACTGTGGCTTTTCATCTATTCTCAACTGATTAACATTTGTTTGTTTTTTTTTTCTGTTTATCTCACAACTTTTCCTTTAGTATTCTGATAACCCTGCATTCCATAATAGAATCTAACATCAGTTATCACCTAATTCACCAGCTGCCTCCATCCTCATTTGTAGTGGGGTTGGGGGAAGTCACATGTCTCAACAGGTGGAGGGTATTCTTCATCCCTTTTACATCAGGCTTGTTTATCTTTTTCAAACTCTTTTGTTTTTAATAATACATTAAAGATTTTCATTTTTTTCCTCATTCTTTTTTTCAGATTTAACATTTTTATGTATGTTGGAAAATTTTGCAAATGAAGAAACTGTCAAATTTTCTGAGCGAGTGCTGACTGATCTTGGAAGAAAAAAAGCTAAATTAGAAATGGCAGTAAGTAAGGAACCTATGAGAATGCTCCTAAATTTTTCCTCTCTCCCTCTCTAACTTTTTTCCTCTCTCCCTCTCTAACTTTTTTCCTCTCTCCCTCTCTAACTTTTTTCCTCTCCCTCTCTAACTTTTTTTCCTCTCCCTCTTTTTTTCCTCTCTCCCTCTCTAACTTTTTTCCTCTCTCCCTCTCTAACTTTTTTCCTCTCTCCCTCTCTAACTTTTTTCCTCTCTCCCTCTCTAACTTTTTTCCTCTCTCCCTCTCTAACTTTTTTCTCTCCCTCTCTTTTTTCTCTCCCTCTCTAACTTTTTTCTCTCCCTCTCTAACTTTTTTTCCCTCTCCTCTCTAACTTTTTTCCTCTCCCTCTCTAACTTTTTTCTCTCTCCCTCTCTAACTTTTTTCCTCTCTCCCTCTCTAACTTTTTTCCTCTCTCCCTCTCTAACTTTTTTCCTCTCTCCCTCTCTAACTTTTTTCCTCTCTCCCTCTCTAACTTTTTTCCTCTCTCCCTCTCTAACTTTTTTCCTCTCTCCCTCTCTAACTTTTTTCCTCTCTCCCAAGTAGTGATCATTGGAAGAAACATTAGATTGAATTGTTTTCTAATTCCAAAGAAAAACATGTCATTTGCTTTTATTTTAAGTTACCAAAAACCTTTTTACTCTTTCAGTCTCGTAAACCTTCATTGCCGTCCAAGACCTTTATGAGTGTTTTCAGAGAAATGTTCAGAAATGATCCCATTTTCAACATTGACATTTTACAATTGAATGAAGGGTAAAAATAATTATTTTACTTTAAATTTTTTACTATTTTGTTTAATTTGAATATTTCTTTATTTTCCTTCTAAAATTAAAATTCTAATTTTTTTTTCCTGTCTCATGTTTTTGTAACTATTTTTTTTTCATTTTTCATGTCCTTAAATGTTTCCTAAAGGAATTATTAAAACTTGAAATAGATTATGAGAAAACCATTTGAATTTTTATTTTAAGTATTGAAATATTTGTCTTGAAAACATGTTTGTAGATAATCTCAGTGTAGATGGTTGCTGATGTCAAGTTTAAATTGATCAGAATAATGGGATCTTTGTTTTAATTCAATGTTCTTGGTGAAGTTAATACAATAAAATCTCAATTTAAAAAAGTAATTGGGAAGGATTGTGTGTTCCTCAATTTTGTAAAGAAACAAGTCCTGCAGATTAGCAGTATTTAATGAACATCTTTTTATTAAATCCAAAACAGCACACAAATGACCAGTATTATGTAAAAATTATATAAAAATATCAAATAAAGAAATTGCACATACTTTTCCTTGCTCATATTGAGGGGATTTTGGGGTGTGGTGCTTTAGATGTAATCTGCACTGGAATCTAATTTATGCTTATAACAGAAACTTAATAAAAGCAGGTATGCACATAAAGACAATGTGTAAAATTTTACTTATGTTCATCAGCTAATGTTTTAAAATTCAACAAAGCCAATACAAAATATGAAAATAAAATAAAAACAGTTCACATCATTATTAAAACATGACTTACAAGACCTTTGAAACTTAAAAAAAAAAAAAAATTTGATGATAGTGATAAGCACAGAATGATTTGAATGAGTATCTGTCTGAATAGATTAAGCTGTGACCACATGCACACACACACACACTTGAATTGTCCTTCCACAAATGTTTTTTTTTTTTTTTGTGCACTCATCCAGGAGTCATTGAGGGTAGTGGTTTACAATAAGGAAGTGATCTTTGCAACACATTAAACAACCCAAAACATTGTGTGTGTGTGTTTCACTCTGTCTCAGTCACTCATGTGCACACGGTTACCAAATAGGTAGTGGTGGCTATTTATAGTGAAAACTGTCTTTAAAAATAGCTGAAATCAGTTGTTTTTTTGTTTTTTTTTGTTTTTTGTTTTTTTGTTATTTTTAAGAAAAAAAATACTAGACTTGATGAATGATTTGTTTTAGTATTTATCTAACTTTGTTCATTAAAATTGAAAAGTTCATTCCTTTTGGCTCATGTGTGGTTCCTTAAATCCAATATTGTGTAAATCAAAAGCTGTCAAACCAAAAGGTTTCACTGTATATGGAGATGAATATCATTGATGAAAATTCATGCTCTGGTGATCTTTCAGCACCTCCCCATATATCAATTGGTATGTGTATAAAAAGTAAACAATTTATTACACCAATTTCCTTCGCAGATAAATCAATGATCATCAAATACCAAACAATTTTCTTATTGAAATGAACCTTTTAAATTATTTTTATTTATGGAAGGATAATAATATTGATTATCATTGCAAACTGTTCTAGTGTTGCCTTCTTGCTACAAATCTAACAAAGGACTGTCTTATCTGATATGCCCTACTGAATAAGACAATGAAAAATTAATCTTTTACATTTATGAAGAAGGAGGAAAACCCATTTAAACATAACAAAAACTGAACTTATCATCATCATCATCATCAGTAAAACTCATTGGGAAATAGTCAGAAATTCTGAATGAAGAGAATTTTAATGAAGTTGAATTGATGTTGCTTTTAAAGATTTTACTTCTAAGCATTCAGTTGATTTCATTACATGTTATGTAGATGGATGTTAGGTGGATGTGTAAAGTAATTGGCTATGGTTAAATGTAATTGGCAGAAATGCTCAACTAAACAGAATTCACAATGTGTGCAATAAACAATAACAAGAAATAGAAAAGAACAGGAGAAAAATATTTGCTTTTTGAAAGTCTGGACATAAAAGTACCAAGTGCAGAAGCAAACAAAAAGCCCATTTTGTAAAAGATGTTGAACAAGTTTCAAAAACTGAAAATGAATTCCTATTTTCAATTGGACTAGATAACATTTCCAACAAGAACGATTTACTTGTTGATTGTGGAATTACAACTGTTATTATTCATGAATTTAAATTTATTAGTTTCAATAATGATTTTAATTTGGAAAATCATTCTATTGAATTGGCAGATGGCAATAGAACAAATAATATCTTGAAAAAGAGGCAATGCTCAAGTTACTTTAACTGACAAGGATGGAAATGTGTGAGATTGCATCTTAAAAGAGGCTGCTCTCTATATTCCTGCATTTAAACAAAGCATATTCTCAGTAAAAGCCACTACCAAAAAAAGGGGCCTCTGTAAAATTTGGCTGTAATTACTGAAAACTTTCATCCCCCTCCAACGATGTAAAATTTGACATAGAAAGAGATGATTTCTTGTACTAAATACTGAAACAACCTCCAAAACTGCTACAGATCTTTAAAAATCCTAACAGCTACATGGTCTTTGACATGGTAACTATCAACATTACAAGATACAATAAATAAGAATTTGGTTATTTCCGAGAATTTATTTTACTATTTACTTTGGTATGGTGAAGAATGATTGACCAAAGTTGAAGAATCTTCTGGTATAAATGCTTCTCTTGTTGCTTATTTTATCCATTGACAATAAGCATCTGCAATTCTCTTGCTTTCTTTTGAAAAAACTCCTAAGATATGAAGCTTACCACATTCCACATGACATTTTAGCAGGTGGAGATGATAAAGTTTTTGACATAATCCTAGTAGATTCTTCTAACAAATCATTACTTTGTAAAGAATTAATTTAATTTGAACAGATTTTTTTTATTCTCTCTTCCAAAATGTGATCTGATCTTTTCAAACAAAACCTAATTTATCATTTCCCCAGTCACTACAGTTAACAAGAGAATATGAAAGTAATATGAATAAAAGATTATTTTTCATTGGCAAAACACAACAATTGCAGAGATAAAAGCCATCTTTGCTTTCTGTCATGAAGATCACAAAAAGGACAAAGTGTGAAATGTACCTGTGAAAGATATTTGCTTCAAACTACGCTCCTCAAGAGATAAGGGCTTTTACATTTTCAGATAAAGCTTATCAATGAGATCACAATTGAAACACATTTTTATGAGAGAGAGAGACAGTTGGAAGAGAGTTGGAAGAAGAGGGGAGAAAAAGAGAAGGAATGGAAAGAGGAAGGGCGAGAAAATATGTTTCCCTTAAACTTAAATAGTTTGCGGTGGAGATACAAAATTTTATTATTACTTCAAAAACTCTTTTTTTTTTTTTTTTTTTTTTTTTTTTTAAAGTATATATTCATATAAAATAGTTTTCAACCTTTTCTTTTTATCTCACAACACACTTGAACCTATTGTTAATTTTTTGCTCAAATTAGTAAAAGACAAGGTTTTTCCTCTTGACATCAATGGGGGTCATCAGAATGACAGGTTCTGTATGACCCTAATTGTATGGTTTACCTAAAACCTACAAAGACTTATTTTATCTCTCTTTGCAGGTTGGCCAAATGGTTGGCTAATTTGTTATAACCAATACTTTAGATTTATTCAGTTCATTGCATAAATGAGTCATTTACTTTGCTAACTTTATGCAGATTTGTCTCTTTGCTTCTATTCATAAGTTTGTGTGTCCTTTTGATATCAGCAGTCTGTTTGCTTGTGGTCCACTTTGGGGAAACTATTGAAATATGTACTGATGCTTTGTATTGGATTTGTCTGTTTAGCCCTCCAGAGGTTACGATTCATTGAGTTCACAGAATTTGACACCATGTCTGTTAGATTGAGTTTTGATAATATGGTGTCTACACACATAGATGGGATTTCCATGAGTAATCCTTTCGATCTTGTGATGACCAACATTGTTGGATTTTACAAGCAGGATTTGTTTACATGTATTGAAAATTCTCAGTGTTATTTTCATTGTTGTTGTTGACACTTTCCGTGTGTTTGATAAGTGAGGAGTGATCTGATGTTTACCATGGATTATTAAATGAAGTACACCCAAGGTTAAAAGTTTAAACTTAAAAGGAGAATAATGTAGTTTTACCTTTTCTGGATGTGTTGCTGCACAGGTCAGAATCTTTTAGTTGAAAATGGCTACCTTCTTTTTGTTTGGTTTTAGTTGAAAATGGCCACCCCCTTCATATTGTGCAAACTAGCATTCATGCTGAAATTATACAATTTAATGAACCCAAGTTATATGGTCTGTAAAAGTGTCCCACCTATTTCCGATTATCATTGATATTATTGATATGATTAGCACTAGATTTCTTAGTCAAATTTCTCAAAGTGTGTAGCTTTATTTTTCTGCCAATTCACATTTTGCTTTCACTTTCCAATGTTGTTGAAATCCATCTGTAAAGATGCTTTGTGCCCCCTATCATTTTAGTTCTGAGAAGACCTTGTCAATTTAATAGGGTATGTGCAAAAGTTCTTGGGACTCTTTTTTTTTTTTTTTTTTTTTTTAACACCAGACACTGAATACACAGTTAAAAACCAGTTTTTCATCAGAGATGTTTGTACACTAAATAAATTAATGTTTATTAATGTTAGTCCAAGAAGGAAGACAAAGGCATTTTTTAAAAACTAGAAAAAAAAAATTTAAATAAAATTTTCATTTTAAAAATCTATCATTTAATTTTATTAAAGGAAAAGCAAGCTTAATTAAGAATTTGTTAAAAATTGTTTTCACAATGTGTTTTTTTTTTTTTTTTTTTTTTTTTACCAGATAAAAATCAAATCATGACATGTAGGACTGTAAATTTTCAATCCAATCTGCTTTCTAAAATCTGACCAAATAAACATCAGATTTTTTTAATATCTTGGCGAGACAAAAACATTTCAGCACCCCATATATATATATATATATATATATATATATATATATATATATATATATATATATATATATATATTGTGTGTGTATTTGAAGTATAAGAAAAATATCTAGCCAAATCTTTTAAAAGAAATAGTTACAAATGAGCAGAAAACAACAATCCATATTTAACATGATTGTGGATAAGCAGTGCTTATATTGATTTTGTACTAAGATTTAACTGTTTCTAATTAATGTTAGTTGAAGAGGTCGACTTTTTATATGCTTTTTTTTTTGTTTTTTTAATTGAAATGTTGTTTGTCTTTCAGTTCTCCATTCACTGAGGCTTGCAAGCAATTTTTGAATAGCAAATGTGAGAATTTAATTGATCTCTGCAATGAAGAATTATCATTACCAGAGTCTAAATATTTGACAGAAGCCTTGCTCTTGCGAGGAACAGCACATCTTTACATGGGCGCCTTTGCAGATGCTATTACAGATTTTGATACATTAATTGATAAGGCAGACATGGATAAAACTGTAAGTAAAATTTGTTTTTTCTTTCAAATTCTTTTGAATATTTTATTCAAGAAACAGCATAGATTTTCTGTCTTCAGACTTATAAGAAATTTATAAAAGAACAATCTTGTTCACAATAGTATTGTTTAAAAAAACTTCATATTATTCTTTATTATATTTAATGTAGCAACTTTGACAAGTAATCTATTTTTTATCTTCAAATGTTCCAAGTCATTTTAAAGTTTTAACATATTTTCTTCATTTTTTTTTTTTTTGAAACTGTCAGTTTTTACAAAAGTTTCTCTTAACATATCCTTCTAGTGTCAGTTTTAAAGAGACACTTTTTTTTTCAGTATATCTAAACTATAATTTTTGAAAATGAAAAATTCACTGAAATCTGTTGGAAAATTTCCAAGTTTTCACTTGAAATCAATAAAATAAGAACTTTAAGCAAAATAGTCACAAAAAAGACATCAGTTTAAACTGATGCTGGGAGAGTGTTGAAGACATTGAAGATTTGTTGCAAAAATATTGATAAGTCAGAGACCATTGTTTCAAAGAGAAACCTTTGAATTGAAAATGTTTAATTTTAGTGTGGATTTTTGAAACAGGGAATTGTTATTATAAACTGATTTGTTAGGATGATATGGAATTAACTGATAGAGGATATCTGCCTAGCATGGACAGTGGAATAAGAATAACTAATCTCTGTGGATTGAATAAATAGTATTGTTTGAAAATCCTGTAAAGTTTGCAACTATAACAGACATCTGTGGAAGGCTTGGCGAGTAGATTGAGTAAAAATGTTGTGATGATCATGATAACCAGTTGAAATAAATGCATTTATAATAATAAAAATATTTTTATGCATCTACTTATAAGTTTGTGTGAATGAATTTTTTTGGTGAATAGTGAAAAGAACTGCAGGCAAAATGATGAATGCTTATTGAAAAATGTCTCTTTGACTGTGCAAAGAAAGGGAGAGAGGAAAAAAAAAAAAAAACTTTTTCTTCAAAAGGTATCTTTGATGTTCTATAAATCTTGATCAGTATTGGTAATCCAGGAAATTGTATATGTGTATTTGAAAGTGTACTCTTCAGAGACAATGCTTAACAACTACAGATTGTTTATTAAGGAATAGGGGATATAAAATGGCCTCTATGATGATATAAATAAGAATTTCTTCTTCATTAATCTTTCATGAGGACTTTTTTATTATTTTAATTGCCTTTTATGGCAACTACTCAGACATTTATCCTTCTTCTGTGGCTGTGGATAAACAGTGCCAATAAGAAATAAATGGTAAGCTCTTGTATCTCTTTTTTGGGGAGCCTTGCTTACCATGTTAGCTGAAGTCATAGAGCTGCTATGATGCTAAGACTGGCTTCCTAAGGAAACAAGAGATCTTACCTATGGATTATTCTTTATCTCTAGTTGATGCTGTTTACTAACAGCCAGAGAGTTACAGTCTAAGTACTTACCATAAAAAATGAAAGAAAAAATAGTGAAGAATTAATAACAATGCTTCGTCTTACATAAAATTAAATATATTACTAACAATTTCTTTCTTAAAGTGCAAATTTAAAATAGGCAACTAGAGAACAGTGTTGTTCCATTTGTTCATGTATTCATTTTTTAAATTTTTTTTTTTTTTTACTATTTTAATCTTCATATAAATATAGAGAAATGATTTAATGTTTTATTTTTGAAAGTTTTATATAACAAATTCTCTCTATTGAAATTGTTTGTCTGAAAAGTCATTATTTAACTTGACAATTAGAATGTATTTTATTCTTTCCATTTGTCTTGTTTCAGATCAAAGTGAATGCACTTATTAAGAAAAGTAATTGCTATGGTCAGCAAAGTTTGTCACAGGAAGCTATGGATACTTATGCTCAGGCTGTGAATGTTGATCCAGAAAATGTAGACATTTATTTCCACCGAGGACAGGTAAATCATTTTTTTGTCATCATAATCTACAAAGTTGGTTGGAAGGATGTCCAGGAGGGAAATTGAAAGGTTACAAGAATTGAGTCCTTTAGAAAGTGCCATATTTTTAAAGAATGGCCAAGAGAAAAGAAAAAATCACTTGTAATCTTTGGAGGTTTACAGATTTTCCATCTTCAGATAATTTTTTTTTTTTCTAAGAAATGTGATTTTGTTTTTATATCCAAAAAATGTCAGAATATATATCTTCAGTTTTTGTCTTCTAAGAATTTACAAAGAAAGAAATATAATTCATGTTTGGCATGAAAGGAAGAAAGATGATGAACAAAAGAAGTTTCGTTTATAGCAGTAGAGAAAAAAGTAAAATGTGCAAATGTTTGCTGAGCATTGCTTGGCACAAGGTCATGAAAGTGGAGCACCCAGTGAGGATCAAACTAAATGTCTTCAAAATCTTGCATGCTTACTGTAGATCACTGGTAGACATTTGAAAATTGAAAGTGTCTTTGTACAACACAAATGTTGTTGTGAAAGGCATGAGTCGATTGTGCCCTGTTCCATTGTCAGTTATCTAACAGTTGCCAAATGGACCATTATATGCATTCCCAGGCTTAGAGACTTTGTTACTTAGTAGTAGCTTGGTAGCTATAGTAATAGGGTTCAAATTACAAGAATAATTTTTAATGTTACACAAAAATAGACAGTTATCACCAATAATATATATATATATATATATATATATATATATATATATATATATATATGTATGTATGTTCAGTTGTAATTTCTGTGAGTCTGTTACCATGTGACCCTTTAGGGATAAGGAAACTACCATGTATTCTTTAGCTACTGCTGGTCAAAGAGGCAACAAGGTAATTATCTACTCCCTACGACTAAATCTGAAATTCTCTTCCAAAACACCATGTGTACATTCATCATTTCTTTTAGTTTATTTCAAATTGTTATTATTCTCTTTGAAAAGTGGTTTCTTTGTTTGTGTATTTCTTTGAAATGTATTTTGTTTATCCATTTCCCCTTTTCATATATATATATATATATATATATATATATATATATATATATATATATATATGTTCTTATTGTTATTTATTTCTGGTTTTCAATTTCTTTCTTAAATAAAAGGATAGCATCAGTATAAAGCATATAAGTCCTTTTTCATGAAGACATGTGCTTAGTTACATATACCATTACATTGCTGTCCTAACATGTTTTTCACAGTTAGGACAGCGAGTTAATTCCTCAAAACTTGATACTGTGAACTGAGGCCAAAAACCTTTGTGTTGGTCTCATCAGACCAAAGACTGTTATTCCAGGAGATATAAGTGATCCTTAGCAAATTTCAGACATGCTTCCACATCTGATTTATACAGAAGTATTTTTATGTTCTTTAATATCACAAGACATGCTGGAGGTAAGATGAGACATAAATGAACCTTTTACAGTGTCCTTAAATAAAAAGATAACATCAGTATAAAGCATGTAAGGCCTTTTTCATTGAGTCCAGATGTTACAAGATATTTTGTATAGCACCTGATTTATTGGGTTAACAAAAGCTTAATTAATGTTTTACATGACTTAAGGGAGTAAAAATCTTGTAACTCTTCAAAAATGTCTATGGTGAATAAACTAAAAGTATCCTTGTGCCAAGCATTTCTTTGCCTGTGAATCTTTGAAAGTCATAGAAATTGAAATATTAAGATGAAAAAAATATAAAAATTGAAAATTCTTATGTTTATTTATTTATTTTTTCCTAAGAAAACCAAAGAATTCTGTGGTGGGCGAAAGAACTGCTGATTTGATGAAACTTGATCAAATCAAGTCTTGTAATATTTTAGAGAAATCATTTTCTTTTTGTTCTTTTTTCTAGCAACTGATGTTCCAAGATCGATGTAAAGAAAGTGTAGAAGATTACGTGAAATGCATAGAACTATGTCCGGATTTCCCTCAAGCTCATGTCTATAAATGTCTTGCAGGTAGAGATGACCATTTTCTTTCTTTTTTTCTTCTTTTTTTTCTTCCTTTTTTTTTCTTCTTTTTTTTTTCCTTCTTTTTTCTTCTTTTTTCTTCTTCTTTTTTCTTCTTCTTTTTTCTTCTTTTTTTTTCTTTTTTTTTTTTTTTTTTTTTTCTTCTTTTTTTTTCTTTTTTTTTTTTTTTTTTTTTTTTTTTTTTTTTTTTTTTTTCTTTTTTTTTTTTTTTTTTTTTTTTTTCTTTTTCTTTTTTTTTTTTTCTTTTTTTTTTTTTTTTTTTTTTTTTTTTCTTTTTCTTTTTTCTTCTTCTTTTTTCTTTTTTCTTTTTCTTTTTTCTTTTTCTTTTTTCTTCTTCTTTTTTCTTCTTCTTTTTTCTTTTTCTTTTTTCTTCTTCTTTTTTCTTCTTCTTTTTTTCTTCCACTCACATAAACCACAAAAGACACTTAAGTATAACCTCCAATCCTTTAAACATGTAAGTGTAGAATTCTGTAATAAACTAGAGTCCCTAAATTGATGTCACTAAACATTGATCATAACAACATATGAGAAATAAAATAATGTAATGTTATCCTCTGTAGCCAAAACACAAGACGATTCCGAGAATATCTAAATGAGAAAAGATCCTCCGGTGGTACAGCAATCCTCATTTGAAAAGATTGAAAGAAGAAACAAAAAGAGAAAAAAAAATGCAAAGGTGAATACTAAATGTTTAACAAAGAAAATTACAAAATTGGTTAATGCTCCAAGATCTTTGAAAAATTGGGAACTAAATTAATGAAGCTAAACTGCATAAATGTGTTGAAAAGAGAAAGTTATAATAACACGTCGTGCAATCAAAGCCAAATGTCAAGAGATATCCTCCTCTGAAAAAAGACTTAATCAGATTTCATCCTTGACCATACTACACTGAAGATGCCTGAGGAAATAGAACAAATACCAGAGTATATATTAAAACATTTGAATCCCCCTTCCCATCACTTAAGGTTGCCTTTTCTCTTTGCTGGAGATTTTATAATTCTATGAATGATGTACGTTTTGTTTTCTCTTGTTGTTTTCATTTGTTCATTCATCCCCAAACTTTTAATTTTTCTTTCTAAAATATTTTTCTTTGGTTTCCTTTTGTTGTTTCTTTCTATTTTATACTAGCAGTAGAGCCCGGTGTTGCCCGGGGATGTAACAGTAAGATATAGATCAAGTATCGACCATCATAAAGACTGAAAAATAAAATTGACAAAGATTATTGTTTAAGGTTGACAGACATGCATGTCTTAATTAGTTTATTTTTTTTGTTTTGTTTTTGGTTTTTTTACAAATTGGTCAAACTCAAACAAAAACATTGTTTTCAATCGTTATTGAATAGAATTTTATTATAAACAATTGTCTTGTAAATGGAATTTTTAAAGCATTCTGAATGTAAAAATAAAGAAAAAAAGTGTGCAAGACAATAAGAAACACTACCTGCCAAAAAAAAAGTGAAGTTTTGTTGAAATCAGTTGAAAAATGTAGGAAATCTGATCCCATATATAAACGAACACACACACACACAACCTGGGTTTTATAATAAGTATAACTCGATATTCTCGCAATGCCTCTTAATTGTGTTTTCAAATTGATTTCGTGCAAAAACAATTGTTTTTCCAATTTTTGGCACTGTCAGAACCACCGCAAGGTAATTTTACATAGTCCTGTGAAGTTTTGTTGAAATCGGTTGAAAAATGTAGGAAATCCGATCCAATATATAAACGTACAGACACACACACACACACACACACACACACAACCTGGGTTTTATAATAAGTATGATTAACAGGAAAAAGAAATGGAGTTGTCTGCTCTTGATCCTTTTTGCGCCAGAAGAGGAAGCAAGTCTTGTGCTATATGACTCGTATAGATATTAATGCGTCATTAAATTTGATTTCTTTTCACATCACTTTGTAGTATTATAAATTTAATAAATACATGATCACTTCCTTTCCTTTTGGTATCCGGAGTGGTAGTTTGTCCTTGTTATTTTTAACCTTATATCTCATAGTTTTGGGAACAAAGTGGCAAGGGAGGTGCGGGTTTAAAAGATTTTAAAATCCAAACTTTTTTTTTTTTTTTTTGTGTATGTGTGGAATTTACCTTAATCCTTTTGTCTTTTGTCAGAACATCGAACAGCATTAATAAATAATTCTACAGAAGGCTTAGAGAAAGTAGCTGTCCGTTTTGGTGAAGTGGTCAACAAGTTCCCAAATTGTATTGAAGCAAGAATCAAATTTGGCCAAGTGAGTGATTTTTATTTTATTTTGTTTCATTTCTTTCTCTCTCTCACTCTTTGCTTTTTTCGTTCTTTTTTTTTTTTTTTTTTTTTTTTTTTTTTTTTCAGAAAATTCATAGATATTAAATGGAAAAACTTTATTTTTAGTTATCAACATAATTATCAGAAGTTGTCTTGTAAGCTCAAAGCTCTTGTAAAATGAGTCTGCTTGTGTTCACTTCACATAAATATCCTTGAAATGCAGTGATATGAAAATCCAATTCTCCATGTGGCAATGGGTAAATAATAGGGCAGACTAGGCTTGGTAACCAGTCTAGGTGATTGACAATTCTGATTGCAAATAAGGAATGGCACCTCTAAGCCAGATCAGTGGGAAACTGTTTCTTTCTTGCAGCTCCTGTAGTCAATGGGCTGTCAATTGTAACATTTCCTTGTACCACTGCGGAAAAGAAGATGACCCTGGGCATTAAGAGAGTTGGATTATCCCTTTGCAATAACCCTCCTCCCCTACTTTAAAAGATGCATACACAAGAGCCTGTGCATATCTCTTATTCTGTTTGGCTACAGACATCTGAAGAATGTTTAATGAGAATTGCACTTGTGCTGTATTTATGAACAAGAAATTTTGTCTCGGAATTGAAAGAAAATTAAGAGTGGCAAATATACTACGGGGTGGTCTGAGAATCTTGTCACCCCTATATAATATAATATAATTTTCTATATCAGATGACTGACACAAGCTCCTACATTTTAGAAGATAGGTAGGGGATAAGAAAACTTTCGGACCACCCTGTAGATCTGAATGGAAGATTTTGAGAATTTTGTTTACTTGTATACACAGTGATTTTGTTTTTCTCCTGCAGCCAATTCACAAATATGATATCAGTTTGAACAACTCTGTGTTAATTTATTCCTTGTGATTGGGTTCTCTTTTTTTTTTTTTTTTTATTCAGCTTGATATTTTATATCTTTTGTAACAAAAATCCTGTTGCTTTATGTCTTTTGTTTATTAGTTTCTAAAATGTCTTGTATAATTTGATGCAAAAGGTTTCAGTATTTTTTTTTTTTTTTTTTTTTAAATCATTTCTTCAAATTCATTTTCTCATTTATCAGCTATTAAGGAATTTTTTATTTTAGCTTCTTATAAAATTGTCTTTTTTCAAATCAATTGTGTATTTCATTATAAAAGAATGGTTTTGATTTTGGAATCCTTCAAGAAATTTTATGTTATCTGTAAATTGTTGGAGCTGTTGACCAAACGAGGAATGTTGCATGGAATAAAGGAAGTGATAGTCCAAAAATGATAAGTCCAAAAAATGCATGAAAGAACTTTGCCATCTCATTTTCCTGATTGTCTTCTGTATCAAGAAAAGATGAGAATTGTCAGGTAGCATAATCACTTGTTGACTCTTTTGCTTGAAAAAAATGCATTTTTTCCACTAATGAGTTATTCAAAAAAGCCAATTGCTCTTTGTGGCATTGTAGAACAACAATTGGTTCAGGTGCAACCAATTCAACATAAAGAATTCTTTTGAATACTAACAGACGCAGAATAAATTTTTTTCACCAAGTAGATTCTATTTAGTTTGGGATCTGGCCACAGTTTTCTATCTGGATTACTGTTATAAATTTGCCTTTGATCATCTTGTTTAAAAATGAGAATTTTCTTTATGTTGATCAAGACAAAGACAAGTATTTTAAAACACTGACTGATATTAATTTCTGTTAAGTTCATATGGAATATATAATTCCCAAATTTCCCTTTAGGCTCGTAAATGATGTTCTACAGTTGCTTGATTGTAGAAGTAATAAAGAACTAAACAAATTTCAAAGATACTTCTAAGATTTCCCTAACATTGAGAATTTTTGTATCCACCTCATAGCTGTCTTGTAAAATGTGTTGGAAAAGCTGAAATATAAAATTTAAAAAGTAGTACGATTTTTATTTTTTTGTTTACTTCCATGAGTTTTTTTTTGTTTCACTTCTTATTTAAATATAAATGACATGTTTTACTGTCAGTTTGGGTTGCATTCTATCAGTTAACAGACATCAACTAACGTATACTTTTTTTTTTTTACCTACAGAAATAGTGTTGCATGATAGACTAGACTTGTATAGGTATTTTTTTTCAGTATCATTTTAACGTTTTATTTCCTACTTTTTAAAAATTTTATTTTATTTTATTTTTTTATTTTTTTTAACAAACTGGTTTTAAATTTAAAAAAAATATTTCTGTAGATTTTACTTGGTCAAAGCAAACCTGAAGAGGCTCGGGAGCATTTTGAAAAAGTCTTGGAATTAGACAAAAACAATGCCATGGCTACTGTTTATATGGGGTGAGTTTTGTAATTTATTTATTTATTTATTTTTTCTCAATTTTTTTTTTCTTTGAGTTTTAGAAAATGCTTTATCTTTTCAGTTTGAAACAAACCACTTTTTAGAACAGTCTGAAGAAAAAAACATCAATCAATGAAATTTTAACTCATAAAGAACTTTATGTGCAATTTGATCTTCCATTGTTTAGTACATATTGTGAATTTGTATTATTATTTTTGTGGCTAATATTATATTAAGTGAATAATAGTTATTCAGTGAATATTTAGATTTTTAGATACACAAGGAAACAAAAACTGAAGAAATGGCAAGAAAGAAAGCAAGAAAATAACTGGTTTATAAGTTGTACAGAAAACATTTCTCCTCAAAGATATGTTAAAATAAATTTTTGTCGTTTTAGACTTACATGTAAAAACTATGGAACAGAATTGGAGGAAGTTAGTTGAATCCATTCTTAGTCCATCTAAAGCTCCACCCTTAAAAGTGGGGTTGGTAATTTCTACAAATATAAATAATTTTATCATACCAGCTATTTTGTTTGTTGTGTTACCTCTTTTTTTTTTGTACTTTTAATGTCATGAAGGTTTCAGATAGAAAATGTCTGTGACTATACAAAAAATAGATAAAAAAGAAGGTTCTTGAAAATGACTTTTAAGAAATGTCTCAGGAATCTAAAACTTGTCATTGACTTTTTCTTTTTCTTTTTTCAACAGTGTGCTACTTTTAAATTATAAACCAGATTTTGATCAAATCCGTTCATACATTGATAAAGCCATTGAAATGGATGGACGTTATGAATATCCATACGAGCTTCTTGGTTCTATTGAAGTGCACAGGTAAAAAGAATTTTTCTTATTTTAATAAATTTAGATATTCATCAACAACTGCCTCAAATGATATAAAGAAAAAAAAACATTATCTGAATCATTGTTTGCTGAAAATATGCAAGTTAAAAGCTATACAATGAAAAACAAATGAATGTAAGATTGAATTTTCTCTGGTAAATGAATTTTTTTTTTGTCCATGTTAATACAGGAAGTCCATTCAGAATGAGTTTCAATTCTTCTAAATGTCTATGACTATCCTGGCTAAGTCTTGTAAAAAAAAAAAAAAAAAAAAAACTTATTGATACATCTTGTAAACATATAAAAATTTGGAAATTGACAAAAATGAAAGGTTGTATGAAGTTGTAAAGCACTTTTTATTTTTTAAGGAAACTTCTCATTACAATTTGTTTTTATTTTCTCTCCATCAAAATGGAATTGAAAATAAAACTGTTCTATTGATCTTGTGTTTTTCTTTTCTTTTTCCAGGGGCAAGGTAGAATCTGCTGTATCCAATTTCCAAAAGGCCATTAAATTGGCTCGAACAGAACATGAAATTACTCATCTCTATACATTAATGGATGCTACAGAGGCTCAGGTTGAGGTGACTCGTCGTCTAGGTATTAATATGTCTGAAGCTATGGCTTCAAATCCAACCATGGCTCCTAAATAGGCAGCCAATTAATAAGAATTAGAAGTTACAATAAACCAAAATCGCATTTTATGTCCTCTGTTACCCATGTTGACTGTTAACTTGAAACTGTGTTGTTTGTTAGCCATTAACAACAGCAACATATCAAATGTTAGATGAATAAATGGACAGAGTTAGGATGAAAACAGTGACAGGGAGAGGGCAGACTTATTTGATAGATACTTTGCATTCCAGAAACCATAGAAAAAGACCCCCTCCCTCTCAATACACAGATGACCAATGGTTTGATTGTTGTTTACTGATAATGATGATAAAGAAAAGACTAAATGAATTGTATTTTGATTTTTGGTCACTTGTACACTTTTAGCTCCAGATGAGAGCTTTGTTGTAAAGATTTCTGTGTGTCCTTTGCTAGTTTCTTTTTGATGCTGCTCTGAAGGCAGTTTGTGGTGCTTGCAGGAGGTTTTAAAAATGATCCCAGCAGCATTTTAATTTGGTATCATGCCTTTCAATTGATGCAATTAGATTTTTAATTCATTTGCTTATTAACATAAATTTTAAAAACAAGAAAGTTTAGATTTTAAGAGAAAAAGACAAATGTTTAATTTTTAAATCTATCTCATGACAAAATATTCAAGCTGAAAATCAGTTCATCTCTGATTTCTTTTATTCATTCAAATTTTTAATGTTTTGGGTATTTACTTAGCACAAGATTACAAAAGTGGGGACACTCAGTGACGTTTGAGTTGCCCCACCCTCCCCCAGTAGCAATGATCTAGATGAGCTTGTTAACCATTACGATATGGTGATACATCTACAATGTTATGTACACGTATGTAAGTGACATACATGTTATTTTATTATATAAAATGGATCTTTTTATATTTCTAAATTGTAAAAATTTTAATGAATGGCAAAAAATGAAATATTATGTATGCAAATGAATAGTTTGAGTGAATTTTTCAGATTTTTTTTTTTTTTTTTTAAATCTTTTTAAATTTGGAAAATTTTAAATGGATGGAATTTCTGGGTAACTATTTCATTATTTTTTTTAATCATTTTACCCCAGTTAAGGCCATAAAATCCACTGAGATGCAAAGGGTTACTGGGAATGAAAGCAACAGAAGGGACAGTGAAAGAATAGAATTCTCTATTAAAAAAAAAAAACTGCAAAAGTTGGTCAGCTATCAGGCTTTGTTTTTTTTAGGTAGATGGGACTTGTGCCTCATTCTGTTTGGAGAACACTATCTGATAAAAGTATTTGGTTACCCATCTCTATTGATTTATATTGGACTTGACAAAAATACAAGAGATGTTCATCTTTGCTCTCTCATGAATTTAAATGAATAATATTCTTTTTTCACATTTGTCTATCACTAGAGATGAATGACAGACTTCTGAATATTCTTGTTGCTTTTAGCAACGTGTTTGGATAGTTTTAATTCATTGAGTTTTTTATTTTTTATTTTTTTATATGGCTCTTTCCGTACAATATTCCACAAATTCTGGAAACAATTTTGCACTCAAAGATGTGGGAATGCAATTATTTTATAGAGTTATTTGAAACCCGATATCCATTTTTTTTTTTTTTTTTTTTTTTTTTTTTTTTTTTTTTTTTTTTTTTTTTTTGGAAGGGGTGGACTTCATTAATCCAGAACTTTCTTAAATCTCTTTCTACCAATTAGATTGTCTTTTTCTTTGAGCATTCCAGGAACAGATTGTCAAGGTTCATTTTTACTCTTTCACTTTTAACTCTTCTGTTGTAACTATCATAATCCACTGACACATCTTTCTTTTGTAAATTATTATGATGATTAGATCTGGTCACTTGAATTGGATAGAATGATCAGTTTGAATCTAAGATTCTTTGATATATTCTCTTAGATTGTGATAAACAGCTATAAACATCATATATAATAAGAGGTGTTGAAAAGTTCTCAGCTTGACAAAACATAAGATTTTTGTGGAGGAAGGATCTTATTGGTTCAACCATATGTACAGACATAATCATTTCTTAGGCCAAGCACTTGTATAGGAGCAATCAGTGAGTATTCATCATTTCTAAGTTGAAACGGCAAATAAGGTCAATTTACTATTCTAATTATTAATGAAAGAAAGGCTGAGAATAGGTAGAGTGTGCATCTTCTATAAATACATCCGTGGCCACAATAATTATGAAATCTGAACAAGTCAATCAAGTTACATGGATTTCACAAAATTTGAAGGAAAAGGCAGACTTTTTTCTTTTTTAAGAATGAAATTTGTCATTGAAAGTTAAATTTTTATTCAACATAAATGAACAAGATGTTTATGAAAAATCTGTTTTTTAAGGCCCCATTTAAAATTTAAAATAATAACATTATTTAATTTTGTAAACAATGATGTAACTTGTTTCTTTTCAGTCTGATGACTCTGAACCTAATTGCTAAAACTTTTTCACATCCAAATTAATTCACTGTATTTATAAATGAATAATTTAAAAAAATGCCTGATCTAACAAATTTTATTTTTTATTAATTATTCATTGTAATCAACAACAGTTATCATTTAGGTAATGGGCCTTAAGAAGGGAATATTAATGAATACAATTTTGGTTGGGAACATTGCAAAAACACAGGTTAATAAATTCATTGGCATTGTCCTGATAATTTTTCTTTCTTTTTGTTTATATAATTTGAAACCGTAAAGCTGTTTATCACACAAGAGATCAAGGTCTGTAATCTTTGTAAAATTTCTTTTTCTTGACATGGAAATCTTTGTCAACTGCTGTTTACACTTGCATTAGAGATAAACAGAATTAATATTTTATCCCAAGAGGCCTGTTGGTTGTAGATGTTTATAGAAAAGTTTTACATATTTGTTCAGTTATTGTTGAGTATTTCTCAACTGGAAGGCACTTAAATCAGGAAATAATTCCAAACTAGAAAGTGTGTGTGTGTGTATGTATGTGAAAAAAATATATCCCAATAACATAGTTATAAGAGTGATCATGAATTAACATTTCGTAAGAAACTGCTGTTTCAGATATATTCCTGTTTGGAACTCTTCAATTCTTGAGGTTTGAAAAGTATGGCTGGCAGATTTCCAGTTTTTGGGAAGCTGATCTAGTATATTTCATGCAGTTTATATAATTTGAATTCAAACTCTAAGAAAATAGAATTTTTAAGAAAACAAATTTCTTTACAACCTTCACATGAACTTGTCTTTCAATTTTGCTTCCAAATTGGAATTAAAATTTCTGAATGGATTTCTGTTTCTGTTGTACTTTCCAAAGTTTCATTTGTCGGCAGTCAATCCCAGAAATAAAAATCTCTTCAATTTTACTTTATAATGATCCCAAATTGGTGATGCTGAATATCTGGATTTGACAAAGTGAAGATCAAAATTGCTTCTTTATGTAAAAAGGTGTAAATTCTCAATAAGGATAAAAAAAATTGTTTGCTTAGGCACTAAATTCTAAACTAACAATGAATCTTCTACCTATCACATAACTTTTATTACAGTATCTTGTTATAATTGTTCTATTTTATGAGGATTGTCTTGAAAGTAATGCCTCCTATTTTACTCTATTGACCAATGTCAGAAGAAAGATGAGTGGTGGTAGTAGAAGTTGAACTTCTGCCAATAACCTCCAATTTTTTTTTGCCTTGTTACAGATAGCAGTTGAATAACAGTCTGGCAAAATTGTGTCTGACATGAAAGTGCATACAAAGAAGTATGTCACTGAATTCCACCATGCAGAAAAAATTTACACCTTTGACATTTATCAGTGAGTGCTGAATTTTTACACACCAAACAGGATGTAAACACAGTTAGGTGGTGGGTAATGCATTTCAGCAGTGGTAACAGTAATGTGTATGACAAACCCTATTCTTGGCAGCTCTGCACCTCTGTCAGTGTATAAAGTGAAGAGAACCGCAATCAACTTGTCTGCAGATTCCAAGCAGCGAACAAGAACAGAAAGACCATTGAATATCATCTCTGTCATGACCGGCTGAAAAAAAAAATGCTGAATGTGACAGTTTCTTAAACCTCATTGTCACCAATACAATGAGCAAGAAACAAAATGACAGCCCATGAAGTGGTCACAGGTGATGTTACCATCAAAGAAAACGTTTAATGTCTTTTGGAATAGAAAAACATTATTCACTTGGATTTCTTGGAACCTGGACAAATCATTAAGTTTGACCATTAAATCAAAATGCTAACTGAACTGAAGGCCCAAATAGAAAAAAGGAAATGGCCTTTTATTTGTAACATAATAATGCTTGATTCCCCCATTTTGAAGACCTTGGATCATATTTCAAATTTTGTCCGGTACCCTCTGTCACACACAAGCCAAAATTTTTATTTATTTTTCTTTTATTAAGCATTTCACCCCAAACAGCGACAATGCCACTAAGACGAGAATGAAAGAGAATGAGAAGACTTTAGTGAAGAGAAAGGACAATAAACACATTCAGAAAGACAAGATGGCAATTGATGTTGCATTTAAACTTTTGTAGATTGTAATAAGCAGGAAAGTAAGAAACCAGAAAAGAGTTCCACAAGTGAAAAATACAAAAAAAGAAACTTAGAGGATAACTTATGGTTACATTTGACTATTTCAACAGACGATACTACATAATTGCTATCTGTTCAAATAGCTAAATGTAACCATAAATTGTACTAACCAGATTTGGTGCCTTCCAACTTTCATTTGTTTGAGCTGATGAGAGATGGAGGATACAAATAACATTTTTAAAAAAAAACAACACTGTCATCACAATTGAAAAAATGGGTTGCCTCTGCTGGGGCAGTCTTTTTTTTTTTTTATGAGTGCAGCATGTAGGTTGTTGTTGTTTATTGTTGGTGAAAAGCATAACTAATGGTAGTGACTATATGCAAGATAGATAAAATTCCCATTTATAAAACACTATCAAATGCTCTTATTGTGCTTCCTATATTCTTTTTTTTGGTAGTTTCTGT